TCCGTATTTTTGTTATTCTGTAAACAGGGAAAAATGAGTAACTTGCAGAACTTAGATATACTCAAAATTATTGATGCAGCTAAAAAACAAACCAAACTGGAAAAAGCCGCAAAGGTACATTTCTGTAAAACTCTGTGAAAAAAGGACAGTTAATATGAGATTTCCTTACCTTCGCAATAAAATTGCTGTCCTTCAGAACAACAAGACATTGGCTTTAAAGAAATTTAAAATTGGCAAATAGATGTCTCACTACACGTAAAAGAGTGGTTAGGTAGAAACATAATTGAAACAGTTGACCCAGCTGATTAAAAACAAAACAAAACAAAAAAATAAAAAAAAGTCTTCATTATTTACCACATCAAGCTAATATGAAAGAGAATTCAACTACTAAGATTCATTTAGTATTGAGAGTTTCTTTGAGCGAGTGGTTGAAAAAAGTCTAAATTTGACTGAACTAATACCCAGCATCCTGATTTGTTTCAGATTGAGGAAATATGGAGTAACAAAAGATATCAGAAAAGCATTTTTTTACGTAGCTGTAAACAAAAACAAAAAAATCCTCTCCTGCCCTCCCTTTTTTATGGAGATAATCCTGAAAAACTAAAGATATTCAGACACAGACATGCTGATATTGGTGTGAATTCAAGGCACTATGAAACAAGAGTTCAACTACTAAGATTCACATAGTATTAATGCCTCTGCTAAGAAAGGGGGGAGGAGAGTTTCTTTGAACAAGTGACTGGAAAAAGGTTTAAATTTGATTGCACTAATATCTAGCAAAGGGATGTCCTCCACCACCACATTTCTTTTTTAGGGAGATAATCCTGAAAAACTAAAGATATTCAGACACAAGCATGCCGTTTTTCGTGCAAATTCCAGTTAATTTTCACTGGTGGATACTTAGGAAATTCACCTGAACATTTACAGAATGTAGCTGTAAAATTAAAAGAATAAATGTACGTAGACAACCACGCAGCAAGATTAGATTTTTCATAAGAATTGAATACATTTGTACAGAAATCATGTTTACTGGAAAATTTCATCTTTGATGTAAACCATCACCCTATGAAGAAACTGGGAATCTAATCTTTCCTCATCATCAAACACTCCACAGATGCAAAAGAAGTGCCCATTTCACTATTTAGCCTTGTATGGAATGTTAGTAAAGATAGTTAAGCTGTGTTTTGAAAAATATTAATTTTATTATAAACTGATAACTAAATGGTTTATTTCATTTACAGACAACAACAAGATATTTGATTCAACTGGATTCTCAATTCCTATGACACCAATATTGAAATTTTTTACAGCCATTGTGAGTCATTGTGATCTAAATTGTCATGAGATGTCCAACTTCTAGAAGCCAAGAAGTTTATATATATATAGACCAAAATTAGTTTTTCAAAATTGTAATTACTACCTTGCTTGATATTATATATATATATATATATATATAATTTATTTCCTAAACCGTATTGATTAATTGAACTAAATGGATTTAAGTTCATACAACATTTATATATATATATATATATATATACTCTATACAATGTAATTCAGATAACAATTATGTAATTGGCAGCAACTATAGTTATCAGTTCTTTGCTTATTATTATGGGTATGTAATAATCAGTTGAAAAATAATTGATGAGTATTTGAGTACTAAAGAGTAAACACATTTTGTTATTGGGTTAATTCACAATTATATCATACGTATGATCTACGTAATAAAAACATGACTAATAAATAATAAGAAATGTAACAGCTGTGCATTTATAACATTTGATTACTTAAAACAGCGCACAACTGATTATCACCTTCATGTCTGTTTACATAATGAATTGCACTTTCCAATTAAGTGCACGGGCCTACCAGTGGCCGAAGAGTCGTTGAACACTGGTAGTTCTGTCTCAGGTTAGAATGCCGCGAATGGGCTGGCTACATGACGTTTCCTTGGTTTGCCCCATTTGTAACTGGTATACGAGCCAGTTTTAAAAAATTTTCTACAAAGGGATCCCTTCTGTTGTTATCCCTCGAGGCTTTGCGGTAATCACATAAAACCAACTGAGCCCACCAGTGGCCGAGCAGTAAAGTCGCTGAACACTGGTATCGGGTTGGAGGGAAAGTTCTGTCATATTTTAAATAGGCAGGTGATTTTTCTTGTAAATAAAAAAAAAAAAATCTGGCTAGTGAGTCAATCGGTTTTTTTTTTTTTTTTTTTTTTTTTTTTTTTTTTTTTTAGCTGCTGTATAATATAAAAGGTGCCCTTTTTTACCTTTCATCATTTACTTGTAATATTTAAAGGGAAAAACATGTCGGTAGATAAAGTGCATTTATGACACTGCATTTTATATGAATTCCAAAAAGGAAGCAACGCATCTGTTGCATGTAAAAATTTATGTGCGGTATTTGGAAAAGATATTGTAAATGTTCGTACTTGTCAAGATGGTTTAGCAAATTTCGTTCCGGGGACCTGAGCTGAGCCTCAAAGAAAGTGTTCGATTGGACGACCATCCAAGATCGATAATGATGTTTTGCGATCCATGTTGGGAAAATAATCCACATTTAACAAGTCGAGAAATTGCAGAAGAGTTTGGCATTCATCATACAACTGTTGGAGATCACATTAAATCTCTTGGGTTTGTGTTAAAGCAAAGTGTTTGGGTTCCACATGAATTAACGGAAAAGAATTTGTCTGATCGTGTAAGAATATGTTCATCACATCTGATTAGACACAACGTGGAGCCGTTTTTGGACAGGCTGGTTACTGGAGATGAAAAGTGGATTCTTTACGAGAATATTAAAAGAAAAAAATCTTACTGCAAACCAGGAACATCATCAGCAACAGTTCCCAAACCAAGTATTCATTAACGAAAAGTACTGCTTTGTTTGTGGTGGGACAGGAAAGGTCCAGTGTACTTACGAGTTGCTGAAACAGGAAAAAAAAAACCATCAACGCAGATCTGTACTGCAATCAGCTGGATAAATTGAATGCAGCTGTCAAAGAAAAAAGGTCCAGCATTAGCGTCCAGAAAAGGACTAGTGTTCCATCACGATAATGCTCGCCCGCATTACTGCAGTGGTGACACTACAAAAACTGAATGCGTTAGGATGGGAAATCCTTAGTCACCCCCCCATATTCACCTGACATATTGTGCACCAGCTGATTATTACCTGTTCAGATCTCTGCAAGATTATCTAACGGGAAAAAAAATTCAAGTCGTTTGAAAAGTGTTTTCTAAGGCAGTTGCTGACTATTTTAACTCCATGGATGAGAACTTCTACAAAACAGGAATTTACAGGTTACCTGGAAGATGGCAACAGGTTGTAACAAATAACAGAGCATATATAATTGATTAATATTAAACACATATTTTTATAAATGAATTCAAATATTTTCTTTAAAATACGACAGAACTTTCTCTCCAACCCAATAGTTCGGTCCGAGGTTCGAATCCCGCGAACGGGCTGGCTGCATGGACGCTTTCGTGGTTTTCCCCATGTGTAACATGTATACGAGCCAATTTCCCTTATAAAGTCCTCCCCGAAGGCATCCCTTCCCTTAGGCAGATAGGCCTAGTGTGCTTTGCTGTAATCTCAATAAACCAAACCATACATCAAACTCATGATGTGAACACCTAATTTCTAGAGTTGGTATAATTAATGTGTTTTAGGTATATTACCGAGTGTTCTATGGGACAGTAAACAACTCGCACATTTTGATTGCTCATGTATTCATATGCTTTATTTGATCTTCATTTTGCTGAATAGTATCTGCTGGCTGTGAGGAGGTAAATATCAGCTATATAGATTTTTGTCATGTGAATGGACAGAACAGTAATTATGAGCCATAAAGTTAGTCAGAAAATGCTTTCACCAGGTCACAAATTTTCCAGTAAGCCATCAAATTTTCATTGAAATGCAGACAACAGAAAATACACATAAGCGATGTGTGATATCCAGCACATGTTTTTAAACTATTCTTAGTGTATACAGAATTTGGCTATTACTGATGCAATTGATTGCTATAACCAGAAGTGTGTTTATCTGTTACATGAAGTGCCAGAGTGGAGATCAAAGTGATTAACTTGATAGCAATCACCTTTCTATTATCTTCCATTACTAACAATAAAGTTTAAAACGAAAAGCGTGTGAGCGATTCAAAACAACACGAAGAAGAAGCGAATGTCACTTGAAAGGAAACGTCACTTTCGCCAATCTGAGCGATAACTGATTCTTGTTTGGCTTTCAGCCTGTTTGCCAAGTGAAGATGGTAACCCTATTTCGCCAAAGGCCGTTTCTCAGAACTGTTGCTACAAACGTTTTGTCCTGGCACCAAACAGCATATGTGATAACAGCTTTAAAGGCACGTGTACTCACACAACTCAGAACAAGATGAACGAAATAATTAAAGAACATCCAAATAACAACCTTGAGCTTGCTTTGTGCTCATTGGCTAATATATGCCAGATGACACGCAGTGGAGCTCGATGCCCATTGGTGAATGATGTTTCTGGATACGTATGCTCTCCCTCACAAAGCAGAAATTCTCATCTGATTCGCAAGGTTTTGTTTTAGATATAATCTAAAGAAAATTCAATTGCTTTCAGACGTCCAAAATCACTTTTTTTTTTCATATAACAAAGTATTAAGCCAAGTTCCATAAAAATCGTGAGAAATTTTAAGAATAAGAAAAAGTCGTAAGAAATATATTGCAAATCTGGTTGAGTGGTCGAAAATCGGGAGGTTTGGCCACTCTGAGAAGCAAAGTGCACAGCTATTTAATATGGAAGCTTAAGAGAAGCTTATTCTCTTTAACTTCTGAATTAGCTACGTCATCATCGTAATGCAAAAGATGGAAAGAGAAAGTAGCCAAATTAAAGCAAAGAGTAAAGGGACAAATGCAAAATTTAGCAGTTTGCTTTCATATTTTTATCTTACACACACTATAATACCAATAGAAAATGTTTACATTCAAATGTAATAGATATAATACATACCTTTACTATTCTTTTAGAGTAAACTCCTTCCTCAAGAACTTTGCCCTTTTTATCTTTCATTTCTTTAATCAAATAATCACTAAAATTCAAAATCAAATTAAATTTAGGTACAATTACGTAAGTTAATAATACAAGAAAACTTCATTTTAGTACCTAATGTATTTTCAACACATACTCCCCCCCAAAAAAACTAGTAATTATCTTAAAAGTTAAAAAATATCTAAAATGTAAATGTAACAAAACTTTACACTAATACCTTAAAATATCCACACAATTTGGTTCAAGTAGTGTCATAGAATCATAATATGATATGGTTTTAGCCCTGTGGTCAATCACCTAAAAACAAAGTTAAAATATTACATTATTTTCTTCATTTAATTATGCCTATAACAAAATGTGGTACTTACGTATTATCGCAACCAGGTTGGCGCGATTTGTAAGTTTGAGTAAAAAAGTATGATAGAAAGAAAATGTACATTTATTAATTACAGATAATTTTTAATACAGTTTTTTATATTATTTTGTTTTTAAAATATAAATAGCAATTAAACCCTTCCGGTTTCGAATTTGAATAAGTGTCAGAATTATTTTTTCGGCGGAAATCTTTTGGCTATTGCTTTTAGCACTGATTGAAAACCGTCTTCGCCATTAACAGCTTGAGCTTGGCGCCATACAAATTCGATAAGGTATGAATCAATATGATGACGGGCTGTTCCTCTGTTTTTTGTTGCGCCATTTGGCTGAGCCCCACATGCGTTCTACATGCTGTGAGTGAACGCCCGTGTTGGGATCCACAAAGTTATATTTGTGATTAACAGTTCCATGCAGAAATCCAGCATTTTCGAACTCACTTGTATTGTATCCTTTCCAGCAATCCGAATAAATGATGCTTCCTTCCTTGATATTTTCGCAAATTTTTTCCATGAGGGTAACGGCGCTTCTGTTAGGTACAGTAACCAAAAAAGTCTCTTTCTTTCCCCGGCAAATTCCGCTCGAAAACCCATTGCTGTAGTAGTACACGCCCAGCGTTATTTTTTCTTTTTACAAATAAATTCTTTCGTACTAAAACTACGCAGGGTTGCCGTAAGTAGGGTCGCCAAATTTGGCAATTTATGCGAATTTTGGCCTGGTTGCGTTAATACGTAAGTACCCAAAATGTAGTGCCAGGAAAAGTAATTCTACACTAAAAATTACTTTACTATATATGTAAAGAAATAATAAATTGACTATAAACATGCATAAACATAACATAAATTGATTATATAAGAAAAAATGCTCTTACATATTGTAGAGAATTATGGTATTAAAGGCACTATATACAGGTAATATTGGATTAAAGTTTTGATCAATTTGAAATGGAACTCTAGCCTCTAACAGGAACACCAAATGATGGCTCCCTTATTCCCAAATTTTGCTGATTACTTTAAGGCCAGAACCCACTCCTAGAATATCTGACAAGAATTATACACTTTTGTCACCCATAATATGTAGCCCGAAGTAAGCTTTCATGTTGATGGCAAGTAAAAGTTTCTTTCTTTCTTTCTTTCTTTCTTTTTTTTTTTATTTATTATGGAGATTGAATTGTTAAGGAAACAAGCAAATGTTTGATGTCTGACTAAAATTATAACAAAAACATAAACTGTTCTTTGAAACGAGCAGTTAGGAATAGACGAAAAAATCTTGATAAGGGCATCACATGACTTCCTCGTACGGAATATTCAATTATACGTATTCTTTGCTGCATTTCATTTAAACTTATTTCCTTAAATTTCATTAGAGATAGATTTCTCATTCAATTTATTCCGTTCTCACTTCGCGACAAGGCAGAAATACATAAAACCTCAACGTATCTTCATAAATAAAACACCAAATACAGTAAAAAAAAAATTAACAATTAAAATTAGAGTTTCAACAAACAGACAAGCAATTTGGCCAGTAGGCAAGAACGCAATTTTTTCAGTGCGCAAAACTGAAAGTTTACTACTCGGTAAAAAGACACTGAAGGTGCAGAAAGACTTAATTCACTATTTTGCTAAGTTTCAAATGTAAACATATATGGTTAAAAAATTAGGCTTAACCACACTTTTGTTGACAATTCTAAAATTATTGCATGCAGATTAACTAATGAGAAAATAGAAACTGGAAGATAAGAACAACGTAATTCATTTTTAAAACAAAAATGCACAATTTACCAACATATAAGAATTTAAAAAAAACTGAGCTTACTGAACTGAGTAACAGAGTGGGTATATATAACTAAAGAATATGTATGTATACTTTTGCTGCGGCCGATTGCAACCAAAAAGGGAGGTGCACAGCTGCATATTATAGCAGTCCTATATATGAAATTTCAACATTCTGTGGCTACTCATTTTTAAGTTATGTGAGATACATACATACAGAAATCATGAAAAAGATCTCTTCTGAATCTATTTTAAATCAATTTTATAACCTGTTTGGGGAAAAACAGTCCTTTATTCTGTCCTTACATATAGATGTCACACAAAAACACCATTAATTTGCATTTTATAGAGGTCAATATTGATATTTTTGTAGAAACAACCTGGAATTTTTTGTGATTACAATACTTCCTTTACTTCCCACACAAGGAAGTAAAAAATCAATGAACTAAACAAATTAAATGACTGACAGTTCAATAAAAATGGCAAGTTAAAATTAAATACTAACATAGAATTTTTGATTAATCAACAATGCTTTGAAACTAAAATAATAAACAGCGAAGAATAAGGAAAAAATAATTAAATGGAAATTGAAAGTCTCTAGATATTTAAAAGAAAAAACTGAAACAGATTAATGTGTAAATACTAATTTGGAAGATGTTTTCAGTCATAGAGCTTAAAGTAATTTCTCCATCAAAACTAGGGAAGCTTCCAAAATTGAGTACCTGAAAGTATTACTGTGATGTAAACATGTGGCTTGACTTTTGGAGTCAGTTTAATATCTCAACTGCCCTGGGTGTAAATGCCTTTACAAGTACATTCTCCTGTGACTAAGCAAACGGGCAGGGTACCATGAGTATCATACATACCTTTGACAAGAGCTCACCTTGGTGTAAAACTGTTTGTACTAGCAAAAGCAGAATCAGAATATGTTTACAATACAGAAAGAAGTACAATATTTGATCAAATATTTTAGAATAAAACAATTACTATAAAATTGGTGATAACACCTGTACAATCTTTTTTGAGAAAAGATTTTTGTGCAATTTCTTATACTTTTTTCCACGTCACCAGAATTAGCAGACATTCTTATTCAAAATAAAACTGATGTATAGGGATCTTTCACCTTAATCGAGTATCAATTATAAACTTGACAATGCGTGGAGTTGACAGAGATGATCATGCTCTATTTGGTTATCCAACAATGCACAGAAGTATTGTATAACAAATTTCTGCCATATTCTAGATATGGTTGTTTGGAATTTCTTCATTTTACCAAAGAAATAATTCTCAAACATTGACAATTACAATTTTTGCATGAATCTGAAAATGAATGCATTTTTCAGAAATTTCATGTTACTGTTTCACGACTCGGCCAAAAAAGTTACAGTGTGACACTTGGCGGTTCGCTACTAGATACTTTACATACTTAATACCATCTACTTCTTTAACCATATTTCAGAACTTTATATAATACTTTGTTCAGAATTTCAGGATATATCTCGTAATAGCTACGTACTAACTCTTTTTTCTTTTTATTATTATTATGCTTTGTGCTTTTGGTATTTTCACGGTAAAGTACGCCTCTGCCCTTTCCCAAGGCAAATCCACCAGAAGATTTTTTCAGCAATTAAGGGGTTCAAAATTCAATTCACAAAACAAAAGTTTATCTGACATTGAAAAATTTTTATATCTGAAAAGTTGGTTAGGGGAGCTGTACTGAATACAATTAAAGGATTTGCAGTAATGAGCAAAAATTACAATAAAGTAGCATTTTGCTAAAAGAACATTTTGGAAGAAAAGCATTATAAGTAATAGTCATATGACAAAATTACCCAAGTGATATCATAGCTCTTCGGAAATTATATGGTGAAGCTGAAACCAATATTCGACCCTAGGAAGCTTTAAACACAGTTATGGGAAGTTATGGTTCATTTACTGTTTCCGATTTTAATACATTTGATTCTGGAAGAGATTAGCTTTAGAATACAACACAAAAAGCAAAATCTAAAACAGAATTTGAAATTCTGGAATTAGCTGAATTCTTAAAAATTGAATCAGAATGTTATGAAGTGTCCAGCTTATTACATAATTTGAAGAAATCTAAAAATATAATAAGTTCTAGCAATTACTTTAAGGACAAAATAAATAAAAAAACAGATTAACCATATTAGTCAACTGACAGCTACTACGTTTTCAACCAGTGTAAAATTTAACTGTGTATTCTGTAAAACGAAGTAAGCTAAACTCCAAAGGTCATTGTTTCAAAGGGTAAATATATATATATATAAAACATTTGAGTGTTAATTGTAAATCAAAATTAAATCCACGTAGAAAAATTTAATTATATTCCAAACAGAAATGATAACACAAAATAAGAGTAAATCCCAAACAATAGTTTTCTCTATATCACATCGCGAACATGAAAAAAATTCAAATTCAGTTTTATTACAAACATTAATGGTGAGAACTGTAATGCCTTGTAGACTGAAAATCATCACTATTATTTGATAATGCTTCAAAACATTCTGTTATCATTAAATCATCTGCAGATCTAATTATAAAAGTGCAACAGAAAAATTACATCCGACACAGAACTGTATAAGAAATGTTAATATGTGCCTACAATGAGTCCAACCTATATTTTGTTGACAGCATGAAACCACCTGAAGTTTTGATAGGTGCCGAATACTTCTGGGAAATAACTCAAGCAAGAATTTAACTACTGTAAAGACTTTGTTCAGAATTTGAGTTAAAGGTCAGGATCAATGAATATTCATCCTAGTGAAATACTGGGAAATGTCCGTGTAGCATCTGCACTGACATCCTTCAAAACTGGCTACAACTATAAACAAGACTATTAATCATGGGTTCACTGACTGTCAAATAAATAAAGAAAGAATTAAAGAGGTTTTGATAGCTTGGGTGTTGAAGTTCAATTTCAACATAATTCAATGAATCACTCTGATGCTATGAAACAATTTGAAATAGAAATAAAATTTAATAGTACAATATATGAAGTCAGATTGCCATTTAAAGAAGAATAACAGACAGTATTTTTAATATTGCTAAGCAAAACTACTCAGTTTAAAGAACAGCTTTAAGAATAACTTATCTTTTTATGAAGAATATATAAGGATTATAAATAAGGGGTTAGTTAAAGCCATTATAGAAGAAATAAATCCTGCCACAGAAGTATTTGAAAATAATATATATTATATGCCCCATCATCCTGTCATTAAGAAAAATGGTGAAACTACAAAATTGTGATACTTTGGCCAAAGAGCTAAACAGCTTGTCTTTTCGTATAGAGGGATCAAATTTGTATCCTAACATTTTGACACTACTACTTTCAAATAATAATAATAATAATAATAATAATAATAAATCAATGGCTGATATCGAAAAAGCTTTTGTAAATTTGCAGAAGTGTTGCTTATAAGCTTTTAAATAGTCTGTTAAATGCTCTATTGAATTCTTCTTTTCTAATATAATATGGTCATTACTGAAAAATTTTCACAGAGTCTAAACAAATGAAGAATGAAATTTAAAACTAAAACTGAGTAACACATTTTACCCAAGTAAGTGTCTGCATAATTTTGAAATAAAAAATTCAGATTTTCCCTTCATTAGCTGTTAAACAATATAAAATATGCTATTCTTGAACATTATATCTTCATCTAAATGTGCTTATAGCTTAGGCTACACATGTAATATACTAATTTTAAAGCTACAAAAATTATATTAAAATTAAAATTTTAATGATATGATAAATAATATGGGAAAGATAAAGCACTCATACAACAAAATACTTACGGCTAGGCACCAATGCACATCAACATGTAGAGGCACTATGTTGAGGGCATAAGAAAAAATGTCAACTTTTCTAGTCCATCTTTTGATACCACTATAACCTTTAGCTTTTAAGTTAGTATAAAAGAAAGAATTGTAACAATATACAGGCAGATAAATGCCTGATTTACACCTTTCGGCTATCAGAGCCACGTAGGAATTTATTACCTGAAAAATAAAAATTAAAAGTCACATACAATGGAAAAATTTGGTTATACTCACTTAATATAATATAATAGCTGAAAAAGGAAATTAAATCTGGTTACTCTAGCAAATTACAGAAAAAAGAACTGGAAGGTTTATGATTAAATTATTATTATGTTACAGATAGACTGTGTAAGAAACAAACTAAAAATAACTTCAAAGAGATCTGATATAAAAGTTTGCAATCTAAACAATTCAATCAATTAGTTGTGTTGCCAAGACGGCATCATTTGAAAAGTAGTTTTTGGGGAGGGAGACTATCTTCCAGCATAAAGAATTGGAGAGAGAGAAATCATTTGCTTCATTCTTTCTTGGCAAAATGCCATTAGTGTAATCTTACGACACTAATGGCAGTACAGTAATGATGACAGTACTTTTTAGCAATGGAAAAAGTCAAGAAGGCAAAATACCATTCATAAAATACTGACGATGGGTCATTCTTAATTGTTTCTCGCCTTAGCAGATTTATTACTTAGTATGCTTAGATGAAGCTCCATAACAGCAAAGTACATTGTGTAAAATCTGTTCATCTCATACTCATGAATTTTTGTTGAAAGTTTTTAGGATGGTATTTGGAAGCTCGCTGGTGTTCTATAACTGCTGCTTTTAATTTGCTTTAAACTTCAATTGTAAATAAAGGATAAAATGATCTCTGAATGAAACCTGTTGGGTGATTTTTGTTAAAATAGCTTCTTAATCCTAACCATCTCATTACAAACTAAGGTCATAAGAGGCAGGAAAGAAGCAGTTTTTGAAACATCATTTCTTTGAATGGCATACAGATACAAGATATAGAAAAATCGTCTTTGAAATACTTAATAAACTGGAAAAGCACAGAATATTGTACAGTGGATCAAATAGTTGAATATGTTGCATTATGCTTTAAAAGCCTCCAAACATTTAACCAAACCTTCATTTGAAGGCAGTAGTGAGAGTGAAGACATAACAAGGTTTTCCCAATATTTCACTACTGCAATTATTTTTAAACGAGAAATGTTGAACACCTCCAGAACTTTACAACAAGTGAACTTAAAACAATGGTATGTCAGAATCAAACAGGATGAGAAAGGTTAAAATAATCTTCTTAAAAAAATATGAAAGTTACATGCACTGCATTAAATAGTGACAGATACTTTCTCATTATCCTTGTGAAAGTAAAACTACTTATGGTTTTGCCTTTTATAAAGCATCACAATTTTGCCATAGCAACTGCTATGCAAGCCTTTTTTCCCTTGTTGATAAAAGTTTTTCTAATCTGTCATCATTGATACAAGACCTCAATTTAATTCCTGCTTCAATAAAATACCAAGCAATTTTTCACACTCGACACTGCTATAGGAAATTGTCAAGTTAGTAAACATTATTCCAGAAAGTTCAATATACTTTGAAATTCCATCAACACTTTCAGATTAGTCTGTAGAAATTTGTCAGTTCTCGTTGTTTCTATAACTTTATACAATTTTTCTAAATCCTTAATTGCAGAACTGTGTTTGCAGTTTTTATCTGTTGCAACATCAATATTTTCATGTTCGAAAACAACATGAAAGAAAACTGGGATTAAAAATAAATCTTGCATCAGAAAAAGATGCAGCTGCTAGTACAGGGGGGGGGGAGTCTCTGGAATGTAAAATTACTTCACCAAGTTTAACATATTTTAAGCAAAAAGTTTCTTCACTTGGGAGCTTTTTTGCTAGTTTGTTAAATGCAAACCATAATAACTAATCTTCATCTCTTTCTCCTCATTTTTTCCCCTGTTATACTATAGTTCACAAGATACACAGGATTAGATGGAAAAAAAAAATGTTTTATAAACACTGATAAAACTTTTTCAGACAAATCACTAATCACTGAAAATAAAATAAGAATTAACAGAATTCTTTGCTGTAGAAATATATTAAGAACATCAAATGATAACATGTAGCAGCATATGAAAAGCAAAACACTTTTACGATCAGTTGAACATCATGATCATTTGTTTGATTTATCACTGTATGGTAAGTAGTTAAGATTACAAATTTATACTATTTTTCATTTATAAAACCAAGGTAATTAAAATTGTGTTTAAAAAGCTATGCAAATCAAATACTTGGACGAAAAGGCATTTGATACAAGAAAAATAGTTTAAAAATTGTTAATGGACCTCAGTTTTATTATTATTCATGGGAAATGGGGGATATACCATAAATATTTGTTGAACATATTTACTATTATTATCTGAAATCAATGAATAGGATTTTTCATTTTCATAAATGTAGTTACTAAAAATTCCGCAAACATTCATTTATAGATTAACTACAATATTTAAAACAGCCCTCTTCCCCCCCAAAAGACTTAAAATGGTGTAGATTTTAAATAATTCAAAATCTATGCTGACCAAAGATTACTTTTATACCTAATTAAAAATTTTATGGTTATTTATTTAACTTATTAACTTTGGTGCATGGCTTTTTAAACTAGAAAACAATGATATGCATATATATATACTATTATTAATCCATTTTGTAATGAAATATATTGCTTGAAGGGCACTAGTGGTCAAGTAGTAAGATTGCTGAATACAAGTAATTCAGCCCAACTTCAAATCCTGATAAACGAGCTGGCTGAATGAGATTTTTTTCTGGTTTTCATCACACGTAATGTTAATATGAGTCCGTTTTTCAAAAGTGCCCTCTATATAGGCATTCCTTCCCTCTGGCAGATAGCATTCGTGTGCTTTGCCACATTTGAAATAACTTATCCTATTAGTGGAAAAATAACAAAAATAAATTGAAAATGTGTTTCATGAATTTCACTTTAAAAATATATTTCCCCAAATCTTCCTTTTTACTAGTGTACTGGCTAATGATGTATTTTACAAGATATTTACTAATAAATGATATATTTTAATTACTGATAAATGATATACTTTTCAAGAACATGAAAATAGAGGTGAATAAAACTACCTGGTCATTTAACCAGTTCAAGCCAGACAAAGTTTCTATGTCTTTTCGAAAGATAGTTGTTCCAAGAACACTGCCAAGTTTAGCGTCAGGTGAAGTAACGGCTAAAGCTTTTTCAACAAATGCTTCCATTTCAGGTGTCATTTCTAAATTGAATAGGAAATTAGCATTAGTTAACGGGGAAAAAATTCCTTGAAACAAAAATTAAAGACTAAAATATCCATTTGAAATACTCAAAGCAAAAAATTAATGTTTAAAAATTTGTATAAAAGAATGCATAAATGCAGATCTTTTCAATGCAGTAAACACTTGCCAAGTGTAGATTTGTGAAACACGATTTTGCACCACATACGTGTTTTTTTGTTTTCATTTAATTCCAACGCTAGAATTTCATTCATATGCAGTTCAGCATTTATTCATCAGAAATTAATACTTGCTGGCATCAGCTCTGGCCAGAAGTTGTGAACAATTTGAAAGGATTTCCATTGATTAGCAGCGGAGGACTTTCAGATATAGAAGAAAGAGGAAGTCGAATTAATTCAGAAATGATGAATGAAGAAATGGATGATATTTTAACAGCAGCCAATAGTGAAAATAGCGATAAGGAAGAAGATAAAGCACCCTAACTTACAAAAAGGCAAACAAATTTTTTTTAAAGGCACAGGAACTGCTTGATTTTCCAATGAGAATTGACCGACACACAGAAATGATACAGTACTTTATATGTATATGAAGCTTTCAAAAACTCGGCACTCCTTATAGTGCAACTTTTAAGAGGCTGCATCCAGTCATTGTCCCAAGGGAAAAAAAAAAAAAAAAATCCAATTTTTAACTTTCAAGCAACAGTTTTTCTCCTTTTAATTACTACATTTAAATTTAAGCTATACATATGTTCTTTGTCAGAATTATACCAAACACACTTTTGCCTAGAAAGTTAACTTTGTGGAATGCAATTTTGCCATTATGCACAATATATTAATGTCATAACGCCCATGCAGGCACGAAAGTGCAAGTTAGCAAAAAGAGCTAAACAACACGCAGACACAAAATTACACAAAAACTAATTGCGCACGCACAACCTCAAAAAAACACATTTTAATAAAATATCAACCTTTTAATATAAAAAGTATTAAACATATACATATAATTAAACTAAAATAATACTTACTATTTTGCTATTAATTTTATCTTCCACTTGTTAAAAAAAACCAATAAATCACCAAGAGATTGTAATGAAATAACCTTCTTTAAGATGCTCTTTATGTAACTTAATTTAACAGTTGATACATGAATACTGTACACAACATTACAACACACTAATATACATATTTATGTTATATATTACTGCCCACTTTCAGGCAATGACAAGTTTTAGAGATAAAATATACACATATATATATAACTGTTACTATAGTTTTCAATTATCTTCACTTTCAGCTCAATAAACAGTACCAGAAAAAGTAGTCATATGAGATAATACAGTTACAAAATAACTTTTAGTTAATGGAGGAATACAAAAAATAACTATTTTGTCTCAGCCTCACTCGATCCTGATTAAAAATTTTTAGGGAAAAAGCTTTTTCTTTTTTGATACTTTTGCAGCCAACTTTTCTAATATCCGTTTGCGAGCTAGTCTCATCTTCTTTTCAGCAGCTTTTATACAATCCATTGATACTTTTTTATTTTCTTCTTTATTTTCTGCAATGTTTAATTGCTTTTTTTTTTTTTTTTTTTTTTTTTTTTTTTTTTTTTTTTTTTTTAGATTCTTGTTCCTCCTTTTTTTTTATCTCTAGCTCTTTTTTGTACAGTTTATGAGCATTCCTTAAATTTTTTACATAGAGTTTTGTGTACTGGACAATGCAAGTGGTTATCTGTATGTCCGAAAGATGGCGCCAGCACCGATGGCTGAAATTATTTAAGTCAGCTCTCGTTTGACGGTTGCTTGCTCTTCTTTGATTCGATATTCGTACGCATCTAGTTCCGCCTTTCCACATAAGCCCCACCTACTTTGCCTTGATGTGAAACAACGTATTTCGTGATCTCGGCTCGGGCAAACTCGAAAAGTTCACAACAAGGGGTGCCCGCCTTTGATCGCTAACCCAGCGTAATATTATACGATGGCATGATGTAAAGTCTTTTTACAAAGAAAAGAGGAAGAGAGAGAGCATGTCCTTCATTTACCCCTCCCCCCCACACACACATTTGCCGGTAGCGATTTCTCAACAGTTCTGCATCGATCTCAGAAACAGCTGAGGGGACGTTCAAAAAACCGGAATTCCACGAAAACGCGGAAAACTTTCATGCCTGCGCCCATGTTCGGCAAGTGTTTTACTTACAAGTGTAAAAGTAAGTGCTTAAGTGTTTTACAGAAAAGAATTAACTGTTAAATTTAAGAACGTCAAGCCCCCCAAAAAAGTTTTAAGAAAAGCTTATCGAGAAATATAATGAAATCATGATACAGTACACATTGTTTAACATAAAAAAAAACCAAACTGTAATTTTAAATAGCAGATAAGTGTCATTAAAAAAGATAGCAGCACAAATTACTAATTTGAAAAGTTAAGTAAGGATGTGTTTTGCATTGTTTAAACATCCAAACATAAAAAGTTGAAAACATTTTTTAGCATGAGAAAGCGGGAGTAAACATTTTTAATACTAAAAAATTCATTAAAAAGAATTATCACATAATTCCCAAATTACCAAGTTAAAACTTTCTAAGGTAAGTTGAAAATAAAGTCCTCGAAATGTTGATTTAGACATAAAATGGGAGAATTCAGATAGCAATCTGCATGACAAATTTGACAATAAATCTCAAATTAATAAAATTCTGCTGTCTTGGAAGCATCTTAAAATATGGATTTTGCATTTAAAACTACAAAACTAGATCAGTTTTTCCTAAAAATCATGAAAATTTTGTGGAGGATAGCACGTATATTTATTTACAGAAATTAAATGTATTTAATTTTATTTTTTTTACTAATATAAGGTCTCCTGGAAAATTCTGCCCATTTTGGAAGAAAACAAAAATAGTAAATTTTTTTACACTTTTAATAATATTTTTTCGTATAACATAATTTCCACCATTACTTATGACATCTTACCAGGTGATAGTAATTTGTCGATAGCATTTTTGAAAAACGTCTTAGGCCACACTCAAATAGAACTTAGCTGACATCTGCTTCAATTTTGAATTTTCTTTTCTTCAAAAAATTTTGCAAGGTGATAACAGATAATCAGAGCGTGCTAGCTATATGGAGTATGGTGAAGAATTGCCCAGCCTAGCTTTGTGAATTTCTGATGAGTCACAAAAGCAACAAGTGGTTATGGCATTATCATGATGCAATATGATGTGTTTCTTATTAAATACCGCCGGCCTCTTTTTTTTTTTTGTTTTGTTTTGTTTGTTTGTTTAACTACTTATTTCACATAACACATCTGCTGACAGTATCTCTGAATTCAGCTTTCCTTTAGGTTTCAAAAGAACATAATGTATTGGTCCTTGTCATTTTTTTTACACTTATTTCATAAGGCACACGTCTGGAATATTTATAGACCAGTCCTGAATTTCTGAATATGATCGAAAATGGTTTGTTGAGTTAAATTAAGCTTAACTGTAATTTTAAATAGCAGTCTGTAAACTCCAATGCTATCAAAAAAGGATCTTCTTCTATCATGGGTCTAAATGAGCACACCTGCATGCAGGTTAAGCTTTCACTATCATTATTGGACAGAACATTTTGGTAGACCTTCACAGATTTAAAAACTGAATAAGAAGAAGCAACAAAATTTTTTTATTAAAAACTGGCTTTCTTTCATTGCATGATAATAGTCCTTCAAAAATTTAACTATCATTAAGTGGCTATTATAAACAGAAGGCATGGATTTTTAAAATACCTTATTTACTGACATTTTCACACCTGTTTCCATTTAAGTTAATTTAAAAGAGATTATTTTGTGAAATCAGATATTTCTGAAAACTATAACAAGAGAATATAAAATATTATAAGAACTGACTATTAAAAAAGTTGATGAATTTGCTAACAGACGATTGCATTACATGGAAAGCAAGTTAAATGAAGTACTAAAATACTGATGCACAGAGATTACACATGAAATTGATTTATGAAAAATTAAATACTGTGAATTTTAATATCTTTTCTAATAACAAACTTCATAAAATTTACCTAAGAATTCAACTTCCTCTTCAACTGCAATATTAGGATGCACACCTGTAGTGAGTTTAAGTTGATCCCTCTCTTGCTGTAATTTAAAATTACAATTATAAATGAAACATCAGTTAAAAGATTAAAAACTTCTACAGATAATATCCTGAAAAATTATGAACAATTTATCTTTTAAAAAAGTGGTTACACTTACCATTTCAGCAGCATACTTAGCAGCCCTCTAAATAATAATATAAAAAAAAAAAAATATTAGATCATAGCTGACACTGAAAAAGAACAGTCCAGCTTAATAAAGCTGAACTGCTAAAAATATCTCAGACTATTAAAATACATTATTTAAATAAAAATGACCATAATAGATTAGTTTGTGATACAACTAAATTCGGCATTTTTATGCATAAATGTTTATTCTATATTTGAATGGAGATTTCACGCCAAATCTACAAAAGATACTGAAAGCAAATTATGTCAAAAGTTAGTATGATATAATTATTAAATGTGATTAAAAATAACTATTTATGAATAATTGAAACATCGATTTGCTTACATAATTCCATTCTTTCTTTCAAACTGTAAATCAAGAACACATATCTTAAGTTTTAATAAGCTTTTTATGTGTATTTGTAAACTTAAAATTCAAGCATACTGAAAATCTTTGTGAGCTAATTGTTTTAAAACCTAGACAATAGTTTCATGTATATCCCTTAAGTTAAAGAATTTGTTAACTAGGAGTGCTGACTCTTCTACTTCAGGAAACACATTGTTACGAATTTGGTATTTAAAAAGCTAATGTTAGTTTAATTATAAATTAAATGGTTTTATTTCTCGCGCAGTGCCGCGCGTGACGAATATTAAAAGAAAGCTAAGCCGGAAAATTGAAAATACAAGAGCGCGTGCATTAAATAAATAAATATCTCTTTTTGATTTCGAGAAAGTACTGGAAAATTCTAGCACGTGATTTTAAAATCTTATAAAAGGAGGAAAACATCTCAGTTTGTAGTAGTTGCTTAGTTTGTTGTTGTTTAGAAAACTGCTCTTGTTGATTGTAGCGAATTCGCGGATTAGCGTTCTTTAGCTGTTTTGAATTACGTTCTATTGGACAGAGTAGTTAAAAGATAACTACTGTGAGTTATAGTAATACTGCATGATAATTTGAGAAAATTTAAGCATTTTTGTTGTGATAATAATAATTTTTTGTTCATTTTTCATCGGACTTGTGCATTCATTTCATAACGAACCCGTACGCACGCAACAATTTTTGGTGTCAGAAGTGGGATTTGAATGCCAATAACAAGAGCGATGGAAGAGCAGTTAAGGCAATTGATAACAGCCTTTGCCTCGTTTAAAGAAGAAATGAAAGAAGAGATGAAATCTAGCCAAGGAAAGATGGAAGGGGCCGTCAACTCCGTTAAGGAAGAAATGAAATTGGGCCAGGAATCTGTTAAGGACGAAATGAAAGCCGTTCAAGCTGGTCAAGAAAAGATTGAAGCAGGTCAAGAAGAAATGAAAAGAGAGATTACCTGCATAATAGAAAATAAATTTGAAGCTATGGAAGGCAGAATTGACACAGTTGAAAATAAAGTTGGACAAATTGAAGAAAAAGTTTCTTCTGTAAAAGATCAAATTGAAGAAAGAGTTTCTTCAGTGAAAAAGAAATAGAAGAAAGAGTTTCTTCGATAAAAAGAAAGAGTTCCTTCGATAAAGAAGAAATAGTTTCTTCTGTAAAAGAACAAATAGAAGGGAGAGTTTCTTCTGTGGAAGAACGAATTGAAGGAAGAGTTTGTGCCGTCCAACACCAAATCGAACAACAAATTGATGAGAGAGTTTCTGCAGTTGCCAAAGAAATGGATACTTTAAAGAAATTCGTAGCGTCGGCAGGGAGCAGGAGTGATGATTTTAAATTCTTACCGATGCCTGCTCGTCCACCTCTGAAGCTATCCACATATGATGGGAAGACCTCCTGGCAGGTGTATAGACACAATTTTCTATCGTGGCGGATGCGAATGGATGGGATTCCCAAGCTAAGGCCTGTCATCTCGCCGCTTCTCTGAGAGCCGACGCAGCGGATATCCTGCAGACTCTTCCCGAAAACAAAAGGTTAGATTTCGAAGCTCTGTCCGGCGCCTTAGGAGCTTGCGCTTTGGGGAGAAATGTTTAAAAGACTACAGCAGGCTCCAATTAAAATCTCGTCAACAGAAGCCTACCGAAACACTTCAGGAGCTCGCCGCGGATGTTGAAAGGCTGTCCCATCTCGCCTTTTCGGAATGCCCGACAGAAACAAGGGAAATCCTGTCCTTGCAATACTTTATCGACGGCATCCGGATACTGAAATACAGAAAGCTCTACGAATGGCAGATGTAAAAGGATGTAAAAGCGCTCTGTTGTACGCCGTGAAATTTGGAGGCAGCCCAGCAAGCAACTCTTAGAGATCGCTACCCAGTCAGAGCTGTGCGAGTCCACGACCCAGGGGACCAATTGATGGCTCGTTTAGATGATTTATCCAGACAAGTCGATGCTTTGATACGGAGTAGCAGTGAGAACAAAGTGGCTGTAAGATGTTGGAGATGTGGTTCTGAAGGTCACCTACGACGGCATTGCAGAACACCCCAGGGCACGGATAATAAAACGGATGAGTTGACAAGACCAGTGAATGCTTTAAGACGGAATAGTGGTGAAACAAAAACCGACCCTAAAGTGCTGGAATTGCGGTGTTGAAGGCCACCTACGAAGGAACTGCAGAACTCCCCAGAGCACGGAAAATAAGGCATACGATTTAAACAGACAATTAAATGCCACGGGAAGGAAAAGGACTGACAAGAAACCAAAGTGCTGGAACTGTGGAGCTGAAGGCCACGTACGAAAGAATTGCAGAACACCCCAGGGTACGAAAATTGAGACAATTTCTGAGCAACGACGCAGGAAACAAATTAATGACCATATCAAGGAACGGAGGTTGCCAGATAATGAAAAACCCTGTTTTAAAAAGCGCTTAAGATCTCTATAGTGAGTGGCAACAATAACGGACTGTCCATCAATGGGAATATCGATGGAGTTCCTTGCAATATGATCATTGACACACAGGAGCTAATGTTACCATCATTAGGAAAGATTTAGCTGAACAGTTTAAAGATAAACTTATTTGGACGCCATCCTGTGTTACCCTTCAGACTGCGTCTGGTGACAAGATCGACATAACTGGGAAGTTAAACGTAAACATCACGTTTGGAAGTGCCGCCTACCATCACACGGCATATGTGGCGGATATTACAGATCCATGCATACTCGGATTGGACTTTTTAAGGAAATACAATTTTTCCTTAGATTTCAAAAACAATAAGCTGCTTTCAGCATCTGATGGCATGACTATCCATCCTCAAAAGGGATCCTCGCCTGGAAATGTCGACGCCTTGTCCGAAAGATCGAGCTCGGGAAGCTGCCGAAATCATACCAGGGTCGAAAAGAAACGCAAGACTACCAGCTATTCTCCATCTCAGAAGTTCTTCGGTCGAGACCTTCGTCTGCCTTGTGACCGCCTGTTTAGTCGCCCTACAGATGCGCCTTCATCGCCTGAGGAACACATCCAAGATGCCCAGGCCCGGTTTGAGGGGATGCACCGTTCTGCACGAAAGCGAGTCAACTTGGCGACGGAGAAAAGGAAGACCAGATGCGACACAAGAGCTACTAGACATAGATCCAACAAAGGAGACAAGGTGTGGTTGTGGAACCCGATTCAACGAAAAGGACTGTCACCTAAATTACAGTCACCTTCGGATGGTCCATATACAGTGCTGAACACGAATGACGTCGTGGTTCGGATCTGTGAGTCTTCGAACTCTTACGACAGGTTAGCTCATTACTATGGCCATAGTACGTAATGTAAATAATTGTAAATAGTATCAGACCATGGTCCTTTTTGTTTTTAAATGTGTATTTTATTTGATTTGTATTTAGTATTAGATTTGCATTTAGTATTAGATTTGCATTTAGTATTTGATTTGCATTTAGTATTTGATTTGCATTTAGTATTTGATTTGTATTTAGTATTTGTTTTGTATTTAGTATTTGATAGCATTTGATTTGTTTAAGTTAGTTATTGCATTTATTGTTCATGTTGTTTGATATTGTAATGTAATGTTTATGCCACAGTTGTTAAGTTTAGCTTCCTGTCCAGGGATTGTACTGCCCGGGATGTGCAGTCCTTGGGAAGGGGGCAGTGTTACGAATTTGGTATTTAAAAAGCTAATGTTAGTTCAATTATAAATTAAATGGTTTTATTTCTCGCGCAGTGCAGCGCGTGACGAATATTAAAAGAAAGCTAAGCCGGAAAATTGAAAATACAAGAGCGCGTGCATTAAATAAATAAATATCTCTTTTTGATTTCGAGAAAGTACTGGAAAATTCTAGCGCGTGATTTTAAAATCTTATAAAAGGAGGAAAACATCTCAGTTTGTAGTAGTTGCTTAGTTTGTTGTTGTTTAGAAAACTGCTCTTGTTGATTGTAGCGAATTCGCGGATTAGCGTTCTTTAGCTGTTTTGAATTACGTTCTATTGGACATTTGAGTAGTTAAAAGATAACTACTGTGAGATATTGTAATACTGCATGATAATTTGAGAAAATTTAAGCATTTTTGTTCCTTTTTCATCGGACTTGTGCATTCATTTCATAACGAACCCGTACGCACGCAACAACATAATTAAGATAATCAATACCATATTACTTTGAATTTAAGATGCATTTGGATTTAAAATTGGTACGCAGGAAAAATAATAAAGAATAAAATTTTTAAAATAGGCTTAGAAATTTCTTTAAAAAAATCCTAACAGAAATCAAATAAATTATATAATTTAAAGATGAATAAAAAAAATTATTTAATTTGAAACTCTAATTTTACATTATAAAATTTTAGGTCATTTGGCATACAGAAGAGGCAGCACTTTAATTAGCAAGAACTGTAGTTCTACTATATCTCAGACTGCCATCAGTACTGGCACAAAAGATTTAAAATTTATTTTCCAATTACAAAAATATACTGTATTCTACTATTTCATTACCAACTATCTCAAGACGAGATGAATTTTTGAAAGACCCCCGGCTCTGGAAAAAAGGCAAGAATGCGAAAGCAATGTCTGAGAATGAGATGAAAGCTGCTCAAGAAGCTCGAAAAGTGCAAATACGTAAACTTATCAAAAAACATGGAGCTGATTATGTAAAGAGACACCTGGTATTCACAAAAAATATGGAGGCTGCTAAGACCCCAGAGGAAAAGGACAGAATTTTGATGGAACATGCAAAGGAAACTGTTAAACATCTCAGAAAAAAGCAACGAACGGATCAAGTTACCAATGATCCCTGTACAGAAGGAGAATGGATCACACCGAAGAAAACTGTGAAAATCAAGGAAAATACTGAACTGATGGAAATCCCTCAAGGAAACTGCTTTCAGATACATAGGAAAATTTCCGAGGAAAACCACGAAGGAGGAGTCAACACTGAAGTACAAACCTCTACATTGCATTTTCCCACGAAGAAAGCGATTGGATGTTACTTGATGAAACGTTTACGAAAAAATGTTCCGAACCACACGAAAGACAAATGAGAAGTAAATCCATTTTTGTCTATACCAAAAATCTTAATGACTACACCAAAATGAACCAGCTTCTACTAGAAAAGAATATCCCATTTTACTCATTAAGACTGTGTAAAGCCGATATGTGTTTGTTACAATGAAGAACCTACCAGCATCTGTAAAGGAAGAAGCCATATAGCAAGACTTGACCCTTTCCGGCAGTTTGGAGTTTTGATTAAAAAACGGGTAGGCAGTCTTATTAGGCCTAGAGGAGTACACGAGTAAAATTTTGTGAAGATCACTTATCGTTTTATTATGTGGGTGCGTCCAAAGTGGGCACACTGATTGAACAGAGCTTCGAAAGAATGCTGAAACGAGCATTGTTGTCAATGAACTGACCGATGAGATGTGGAGAAACAAAGAATGCAGACTCTCAGTTGTCCTAGATTATCGGTGAGCCCGGTCTGGGCACACATAGGGTTCACCGTTTGATTTTAGGCAAGATCTTAAGGTAAAAATTTAAAACTAATATAGAATAAGGAGATTAGCATACAGCCAAAAAAATAACATAGAAATTTCTTTTCAAACAATTCCTTTTATACCCTAAAAAAATCTGGAAGATTTCTTTGAAAAATGAGGGTCTTAAAAAGCAAACATGGCAAAAAATATATGGACTGGTTTAAGTTGATCTGCCATCTACTAAAAATAAAGAAGGTTCAGAGTAACCTATAAATCCTTTTTCATTCAATTTTTCTGTGCATACAGAAGGAAATTTTTAGGTGTGTCTAGACCGGACACGCTGTGCCGCAAAGGGTTAAAATGCAAAAACTATCCGATAGGAAAGTTTAACAATTTTCCAAGAACTATAATGGAGAAAAAATAAGACTTCCCATATTCTTACTCAAGAGAACCCCAGAAGGAAATCAGATCCACCAACTAAATAATATATTTAGTTTCAATGTGGTAATAGAAAAATTTAATCCAAGAAAGAGACCAGTGCAATGCTAACTTTGCCAGCAATTCGGCCACTCTCAATTTTATTGCAATAACCCTGTGAGATGTGTAAAATGCAAGAATCAACATTATAGTAACCAGTGCACCATGAAACCAAATGAAAAGTCACTATGTATTTTTTGCAGACAAAAACCACATGAGCTGTTTATAGAGGATGAAGTGAATACAAGAAGTTTGAGAAGAAAAGCCCACAACCCCAGCCTAAAGCCCCAGAACTAGCAGAAGAAACTTTCCCTAGTCCTAAAACAACCACTGATCCAGTGCAGAAAAATATCTTTCAAGTTACATACAGTGAAAAACTCAAAGGAAAAACTACCCCACCTCCGAAAGACTTAAACGACGAAACAGCCTGGCTAAAAGATAAAAAAAATCAACGCATTCCTGACATCTATCATCTCATTCATCAGAAAAATTAAAGCTGCGAAAAATTTAGCTGAAAATTTACGAACTGGCTTCCAGGCAGCAATGTTGTTCATCCAATTTGCTGAATCTGAGAACTAAGTAATGTAAAGCATGCAATCCTCGATGGACCAATAGTGAAGCAGATTGAGCATAGCAGTAAATATTTTGGACTCTCTACAAATTAATCTTATCTTTCTCCTTTTCTTTTAGATCAGCAGCAGTCTAACTGCTTTTACAACTCGACATCCTTATCCAGGGTAGCTTCGTTTGTTTATGTAAAGACTTATCTACGTGTCATCGTGAATTTTTCAGATTCTCACTCAACATGCCCCTACGTTATGTTAGGAAAGTTATGCTGTTTTTCTACCCGTCATACACAGGATGCGGCTTCCAGCCCAGGTGCCTGTTTCTATGTGTGTCTATCATCTGAGTCTAGGGTGTCGAGTCTACTTGCGTCTGGAATACATTTACGTCCAGAGGATGCCATGCAGCTTGTTAGATCTTGTAAATTTAGCTTGTGTGTAACCCACACATTTTCTATGGCGTTAAGATAAGATACGGGGCTATGTGGTGGCCAGGGAAGATGTAGGAAGTCAGAACCAATTCTGCGAATCAGCGAACCAATTTTGAACACTTCTGGCATGATGTATAATTGCATTATTGTCCATTAAGTATCCATTGTCATCAGGGTAAAAATGCAACATTGCAGGGTGCATTTGATCTGCCAGTATATTTAGGTATCACATGGCTGTTTGTTTACCCTCGAGGAATGCCAGGGCACCACTTCCATGCCAGCAAAACATGCCCCATATCATGATACTCCCACCAGACCTTGGCACAGTGTAAGGCAAGATGGATTCATCGCTTCCTGGTGTTCTCGCCAAATTCAACATCTTCCCATCAGTGCAAAGTAAGGAGTAGCATGATTTATCCAACCACATTACCCTTTTCCAATCCTTAGATGTACAGTGTCTTCTTTCCTGACACCACTGCAAACAAATTCTTGCATGTCGGGCAGAAATTGGTGTTTTTTCTCACAGGCACCCGACTATGCATTCCTATCCTCTGCAATTCTCTGTGCATGGTTCGAGCTGAAATCTATTGGGAAGAGCCTTGGTTGACGATCTGTGTCAGTTGAAGCACAGTACAATCCCTGTTCTGCCTTAAAATTCGTTGGAGACGCCGGCGATCACTCTCTTGGAAAATTGTGCTCAAACAGTTATGTCTTCTAGAGAAGGACTGTGGGTTCTGATTCCAACTTTTGAAAACCTTTGGTATGGCTGCTTTTGAGACTTGCAGTCTTCGAAATTGAGGCCCCTGCTAAATTGGCACTAACAATAAGCCCTTTTTCAAATAGTGAAAGATCTATCGTTTTCCCATTTTACTTCATTCATTGTGAAAAGCACACTTACACCTTACTTATACTAGCATTCTAATCATGTGTAACCCACAGCCATTAAAAAAATTACATACTTCATCCCTAGCACGCATTCTAATGAAAATCTAAGAGGCTTCTAATCATTGGCCAGTGTGTGTAAAATTAGCGAAGTTTATAAAACATACTTCTAACACCACAGATTATGCATTCAACTACAATATGATAATTTTTCTTGAAAAGCTAAAACTTTATATTAACTAAAAAAAACTAAATATATCTTTCTGAATATTATATGCAGTTTGCATAAAATTTCAACTTATAAATTCAAATGAAATTTTTTTTCTTAAATTTGAATTCATAATTTCTAGATTTCGCAAAAATTTGCATATACATATGTCTGTGCGCACTACATACCTCTTTTCGATATTGTTCCAACTGACGCTCACGCTCAGCAACTAATTTAAGGCGCTCTTCAGTTTCGGAATTCACTGTTTCCTTACTGAAATAATAATAATAATAATTAAAAAAAAAAAAAAAAAATAAAAAAAATAAAAAAAATAAAAAAAAAAAGAATATCCAAGTTTAAAATAAAAGAAAGAAAAACGTCTCACATGGTATGGAACATCATGTGGAACAAGTTCAAGAACATATAAATACACAAGCATAAGATTTTGTACTTAACCTTTTAAACACTGCACTATGACCTAAGATTAAGAAGTGTTATTTACCTTATTACATTAAAATAAAATTATAAGAAATACAGAAAAAGAAGTTTCTGGGGGGGGGGGAACACAAGACAGTGATTTTCCCCATGTTCCCAATTGTGAGCACTGGCGTTTAATGATATATTTTTATACATGTTTCTCAAATGTAGTAAATTAGCATTAACACTTTGCTTATATGCACAAATTTTAAAAAGTTCAGACTAAAAATTTAAATTTATTATAGAACTACATATATTAAACATTAAAATATAAGTTATTTTTAAACACACTTAGAAAAGAAAATATGAAAAGTCTTTATATACATATTTGAAAGAGCACTGACTAAATTTTTTTAATTTATTATAAAATAATATAGGTTAAGCTTCAACAATCTATAAAGCATACAGTTCATTATCAATATAGTTATGAAGAAATTACGAATGAGACTACTAAAATATCAACGTACCAAATGTTTTACTGACATTAAAATAAATAAATAAAAATGAATAAATAAATAAAATTTAATTGTAACTTTGTTTATTATCCATGGTACTGGGGAAAACATATTTTGTGAATTTTTTTTTTTTTTCACTCAAAGTACTTTTTACTTGTGCCTTTTTCGGCACACAACACATCGTACCTCAGAATCTCTACAAGGTAACGTGCATCAGATTTTCTTAAAAATTGTAACTGGTGTGCACGAGATCGCAGAACATACATTTTTATGTACATATATATAGAAGCTATTCAGCAATAACTGCCATGTTAACGGTTACTATAGCACTGCCTTTCCAGCAGCATATACACTGGCGTGCAAAAATTAAGGACGAGACGTTTTTTCAATATAACTTTGTACAAAAGCTTTCCAAATCAACACATTTAATATCGTAAGATGCCCAATACGTAAGGACATGAGTAATGTAAGCAACACTTACTAAAAGAGAAATCAGAGGGATAAAAAGAAGCTTTATTGAAAAAGTAGCATGGAGCGCAATGCGACTGAAGGCCGAAACATCCCTGTGATGGGCGTCCAGCAAGAAACATCCGGTCTTTAATAGGGGATATGATCGATCTCCCCTGACTGCTAGGCAGGTTTCACAGCATCTGCCCATGCTGAGAATGAGGGTGTCAATGAGTTGTTGAGGCATTGCTGCCCATTCGTCTTGCAGGGCCAATCGAAGCTCCGGAATCCTTACTGGTGGGTAAGGTACGAGCTGCCAAGCGTCTGCCTAGAAAATCCCATACATGCTCGATGGGATTGAGATCCGGAGATCGTGCCAGCCAATCCATACGTTTATTATCCTCACTCTCTAAGAGCTGTTCGGCAGCTACTGTGCGATCACATGGTACATTGTCGTCCACAAAAAGGAACTGCGGACCCATAGCGCCTCTAAAAAGATGCACATATGGAAGAAGATTCTCGTTACAATAACCTGCGTTGAAGATGTGAAGGTCTGTACGACTACCAAGCATGATGCCTCCCTGAACGAGAACACCGCCACCTCCATACCTGTCCCTTTGATGTTCGAGGGATGATAGCGGCTTCCCCGCTCTCTCCAGATGAGTATGCGATGAGAATCACTACTCAGACTGAATCTGCTCTCATCTGTAAAGAGTACTCGTCCCCATTCATTGTCTCTCCAATTCCGGTGTTCCCGGCACCACAGAGAACGCCTTCTCCGATGGGCAGGCGTTAGAGGTACACACTGTACAGGGCGTCGTGCAAACAGACCACCACAGTGCAGTCTTCTGGCCACGGTAAAACGCGATATCAGTCATCCAGCCGCTTGTGTCGTGTGTTTAGCGATTTCTCCCGCTGTCTGCCGCCTGTTTCTTCTGGCCTGTAAGGCAATATACCAGTCATCTGCGGGTGTGGTTCCTCGTGGACGACCACTACTAAACCCCGGATAGCTGTTCCTGTAGTTTGAAATTGTCTCCAAAGTCGTGAAACGATGCCGTGAGCAATTCCGAACTCTGCAGCCACACTTGTCATACGGCCTTCCTCCAACTTCCCAATGATTCGACCTCGGGTAAAAGCATCCAGATGTCGTCTAACAGATTGATTATTCGCCATTTCTCGCTGAGGCAGCAACTCGGTGTGATTTTAACTGCTATACGGCGTGCAATCTCTTTGCCAGAAATACTGATCTTACACTGACAACATGCTTTATACTACTCAGACACTCCCCCATTACGTCTACCTGCATATCTGCGCATGTGCCCGTACATCACCTTACTTAATCTCCTGATTGGTCTTTCTGTCCGCTCTGCTTCTTCGTTCAGCTGATATGCTAATTTTTCGACTTCGTCCTTAATTTTTGCACACCAGTGTATATACTTTATCTTTGCTTTAAAAGTCAAACTTTCCTCTTTGTCACTTTGAAATTACCTCAGGAATTTCCTGAGGGCATCATCCAGTTCAACTCGCTCATACTGTTCCAGCTGCTTTAACACCTTTATTGGATATATTAGTTTTAAGTTTATGGTAGGTAAAACAATTATCAAAGAATACACGAAACTTTTTGGTATTTCTACCATAATATAAAAATTCAACTCACAATCCTACAGATTTGCATTTTTAGAATTTCTTCCATTACGTATGTTCATTGCATATGGATATCCACTTGCCAAACAATGCACCCAGATTTTGAATGCAAAACACACTGGTTTTGCATTTGAAAAACATTTTAGCTGAATGTTGACCACAATAAGGCACCAATGACTCATTAATATTGAGTTAATCATGGAATATGCTAAACTGATAGAAGTTTGTCAGGAGTTCATAAATGGGAGATTCTTTTTCATTTTTATTACAACTGGAACCAATTTTGTATTATCAAAAAAATGAACATAAATCTATTCCTAGGCATAATTGAAGTACAAATGAGAATCATACGATCTTGCATACTCCATTATAAACCTTTGCCTAGAAAATTATTGTTATGAATTTTGTATATATATGTACATAATTGTCACCCAGATGGTATAGTGGTTAGGAGAGCCTACTACAGTACTGAAGGGTCCGAGTTCAAATCTCAGAGAAGACATGGATGTTTGTAAATGTATAGTGTCAGTGCACCATTCTAAATATGTGCCTAGCCAAACGTCCTGTCTTGTGGATTGGTGAATGGGGAGAAGAGTGGGAGAAGCCGGATCCCTCCTTTCCCTGGAGTGCTCTCCCTCAAAATTGGGGTGGTAAATAGAAGTCAAGCTCTTTTTGGAGTAGGCTCTGGCAACTATTGTTCTATGTAATATGGACAAGGCAAAAACAACATGTAAATAATTTCAGTAAAATTGTATATGTGAAATTGTAGTATTTTTTGTATAATGCAACATGAAATGCTTGAAAAAGTGAAGCTCAAACAGGAAATAAGGTTACAGAAGCAATCCTATTTAACACTGAATAAATGGCTATCTTGCTAATGGGGAGTTATCGCCAAGTTGGCAATGGTTTTGGTTTAGATCCCTGTATAACTGTAATTGAACAACTGCAAATTAGTGATCCATATATGCAACTGTAACCACATGCAGCCCTCATGTGTAATTTTAACCATATATGCCTTCCAGTAATTTTGAGAAATAAAAGGTGCTGGAAATTTCTGGGCAGCCACCGGAAAACTACATCAGTTTCTGAAAACTACAGAACATCAGTTTCTGAGTTTTTTCAGCTCAGAATTGACTTTGGAATTTTGAGATCTCTGTTACAGATTCTCTCTTTAGATGAGCTTTGCATTGTGCATCACATTGCACTGTATTTAACATCCTTAGCAGTTTGAAGGGGTAACTACTGATTGTACTGTCATACTAAGAACAGCTGCACAAGTACACATTACGAATCTACACATACGCAATATTACGATATCCTCTAAATAAAAGTAATCCAAAAAACATACTTTTTCATCAACATCAAGTATTTCATTTTTTTCTAAGGCTGTCATTTTTGAAAAATGGGTAAAATAATCTATTGGCAAAAATTTGAACAGGAATAGGGTAACTATTTCGGGGAAAATTTAGCAAATATTTCAGTAGCTACAATTCCAATACTTTTCTGCAAAGTTGCAGATTTGCTAAAGGAACAATTGATGTTTTCTTCTTTAGGAGGCAATCATTTTTGCTTTTGAAGTTTAAGGAATGTTAGGATCATGTGTACCATGGAATCCTCCTAATAAATGTTAGTGAAAGTTTCTATTGAGTCATTGGAAAGTTCTGTGGTTTTTTGATGATATGTACAAATAAAGCAGTACCAAAACAAAAAAATTTCAAGGAATCTCGTAACCACTATTTCATCCTATGACTTTTTTTCCATCTCTCAAGCAGCTGAAAAAATTCCTTTTTTAAAAGTCATTAGACTATTCAAAAGAGCATAATATCACAAAAGAGAACTTCCACATTCTCTAATCTTAGCACAGTACTGAATCAAAAATTATGCTATGATTACAAAACATGAGCAGAAAATAATCTACTTAAAGATTTCCTTCAATTAAGGTAATTTTTTATCAGTAATAATAAAATAATATGAAGAAAATGCACTTGAATTTCAAAAGGCGCAGAACTTTCTGGATGATGCAATATCTGTCCACACACTTCTGTATGCATAATGAATCCAAAAATATTCTTCATATCTTCCCAACATTTATACATCCACTTTAATCTGGATCCATCAGCAAAATCGACACCAAAGTCGAATGCCAGGGTTGTGCCATTTTACAGATCGGCCACTAATTGCTAATGTTCTCTGAAGAAATATTTTCATTTAACAATAACACAATAGTAACTTGATTACGTGAAAGTGTGCGAACTTTACATATCGCCAATAATACTGACTTCGAATAACACTTAATCTCTCCGTTAAATGCATTTTAATTAAAAAAACTAATATGTTAATATATCAAGCTACTTAAAACCAAGTAATGAAAAAGAAAATATTTTTAATTCTTATACTTTTCGTCTGACAGATATCAACAACAGTTTTTATTAAAATTATCTGATCAATTCTCAAAATAATCCAAAGCATCTTTGACTGTTAAAACCATTTTGGATATCACATGTTTGGCAGAAAGCAATCTGTATCATAAAATGCAAAGTCTGCGTAGAAAAAACATAAGATTTTCAGCTGCTGCAATAAACATTCTGCAACTTATTCACCACCTATCCCTCTAAAGGGGGGAGACGCAGGGAAGACTAAAGAAGAAATAGGCACCCTTTTCACATCATACTCTTCCACGTCCAGGGGCAGAAGGGAAAAGAAAAAAAAAAAAAAAAAAGAGGGGCTTTGTCTCATTATCAATTTATTTACTTTTAACTTTACTGTGAATATGTCAGCAATTTTTGCCATTACTGTAATAAATAAAATGCCATAATTTCCAGTTCACCCATCAAATATTCCCTAAAGCTTTATTTTCCTCTTACATACTTAGAAAAATAAATTTTATCCATAATACAAGCAAGAGCTTAATATAAAATAAATCCTATACTAGTTAAAAACAAAAATACCTAAAAATAGAAATATATTTATGAATAAACTGTTGTTAACTTGAAATTTCAGTCCATTTGAACAAAAACTGAAGTTTAAAAAAAAAAAAAAAAAACTATGACAATTTCCAGAAAATTTGTCCATAATCTGAAAAGTTTTTTTTGGTCATTACAGGTTTTGAACTCATAACTCATATAAAACAATATAGGAGAACAAAAAGGGGAGGCACTAACAGAGAAATATACAATTAGGACACTTGTATTTTACAATGTTAAAATGCAGAAATTCTTAACATTTTTGGAAATTTTGGAATCTAACAACATTCTGTAAAGGCAATTTTAATTACTCACAATAAGTTATAATTTAAAAATTTCAGATAAAAAATATGAGAAACATTTTTAGAGATTTAAGGCAACTGATTAGCTTTGATATTATTTAATTCAAATTCTTCAAATATAATTTAAAAACATGCAAGATACTCACAGCTCAGCTATCCATTCAGATGAAAAGAAATCTGATTTAGTTTTCATGACAGGCCTAAAAATGATTACAACAGGATTACTATTACAGAATATCAGAATCGAATGAATTTTTATTCTACCAGAGAGAATAATGAATTTGCATCTGCATAAAAATTCCGCTCTTATTATTTGTATAATAAAAATTTAAAAGAGCAACTATATATAGTGCCAATATAGTGCCACACAGAAATTGAAGGGCTTCCAGCAAGAAGGGCCCAGCTCCACTTTGATAGATTTTGTGTTCATGGTCTTTTTTGCTAAAAAAGATCATTCTTTACATTGAAGTAGGCATAAAAATCCTTTTCACTGGCAATTTTAATGAAGACAAACATTTAGAATTTATACTATTAAAATCTGTGTATGTCTATCTGTTTGTGGCATTATCTCCTCCGGAATTGCGAGGAGTTGATTTTCGAGAGAGGTACCCCCGGATTCCAAAATTCGACCATTCTCATCTTTGGACGACTTTAGGTAGAAATATTAATTAAAAACTCTGCTAATTTTCACCCTCATTTTCCAAGTTGCAACAGTCTCGCATGATGGAGATAAAAATTTGCTTAATTCAAAAAGTGTTGCACTTTATGCTTTCAAATTGTAGAGTTAGTTAATAAAAAATTTCTAAGTTTTACAAAGTATGAAATAAAAACAGCATTGCAAAACATTAAATATATTATCCCTAATTAAAAAAAATTCACGGGAAGCCATTTTGAATGTTCCCATCTTTGTCTGACTTCTGTTGTGTAGCAAATTTAACGTAACTATTTTAATCACAGTAATCAAAATTTTAATGTGTCGATACTCTAAATTTTAAGCTACACAAAATGCTTTGGTTTTATTAATTTATTGGTATATTTTTTTTATCAATTTAGTTTATCTTAATTTACGTGAAAAGATTAGCTAGCGTCATTCTTTGTCCACTTCATTTTAGAGCTTGTCGTACTCGCATTCTCACTCAGACAATGGATAAGTCATTCCATGACTTAAATTAAGTTAAACCCTTAGAATTTATTATCAATAGATGCAGAAAAATTAGCTCTTTAATTTGAGACTACTTTCTTAATTCTAGCCTTAATCAATTTTAAGTTATTAAAACTTCCTAAGTTTTTCTTCTAACAAGAAAGGAGGGAAGAAAAGTTACAAAAGTTCACTCTCAACGAAAAAATGTGCGTTCTTTGGACTTGAAAAGCAGTTTTACAAGTGCAGGTGTTTAGGCACGGCCTCAACTCGGCATGATTCTGGCGAGTTGGGAGATCCGTTGTAATTTTAAACTGGTTGGTTTTGGTAGAAATTTTGCATTGCTTAAGGTGGGAGTTTTCGCCAACTGGTTTTTCACCTTTTCGGACGTGGGTTTAGCCAAGGTGCCTGTCCCATCATATCTAAAAAGGGGTTGTTTTCGCGGGATGCTTCTCTTCTCGCTCCTGGACACCAGCATCTGCAGTTGCTGCTTTTGCCTCCTGTCGACGTTTAAGCAGTTCTTAACAATGAGAGTTTCTCTCTTTTCTCGGAACATTAGGGCCCGAGACTGGCTAAAACTTCTCCATGTATAAAAAAATGTAAGACAACAGTATTATTTACTTTTGGACACCATCCATAGTTTGCAAACGAAAAAGGAGAAAGAAAAAGACAGCTTAAAAAAAAAATAAAGATATATATAATATCCTCAACGGGAGTCTAACTTCAAGGAGAATGTGGCTTTCAACGGTTCAACTTTCTGCTCTACTGCTTTGCAAACTGGAACTTGGATTCAGATGGATCCCATTACCTGTCTACACTCCCCGAATGGTGGACTCTTTCTTCTGTCCGGAATGTTGAGGAATTAATGGACTGTCTACAGTTTCCACTGGATTGAACCAGCCTTTCCTTCAGGAGACCTCGGTCATGGAGCCTCTGTAGGGTGATATTATTCTACTTAAATTTTTCTTTGCTATTTCATTAAATTCAGGAAATTTCTTAAATCTTAAGGTCTTCAAGATTTCGTGGAGTTGTTTCGGTGTGGTGATGTTGATTGTTAAAAGAAAAAAAAAAAATGATTCCAAGTTAATGCATAATTTTCCCCCCCTTAGTGATTTTTTAGTTGGAATTATTAATGTAAATAATATCTTAGAAGTTTTCCTAAGAAAACAAAGAGAAGTAAAATTAATTTGGTTCGTTTTTATTATCTTTATTATTAGAGTTATCTGGTAAAATATTTCAAGTTCGAAAAGCTCAATTTTAAAGAAATTACATTGTTTTGTTGTTACTATTATTATTATTTGAAGAACCGTTAGAGTAAACTGAATAAGTCAGCTAAAGTTAATAGTTAAGATTCAGAATGTGAAAATATATATCTTGTAGTTCTGCAGTAAAGGAGTGTTCTCTGAAACTTAAATTAGTGCTCATAGTCGGTACATTAAGTCATTACTCTGGTATAAATTCTGTGGAATATAATTCCTCCTGGAAATTATGTTAAGGTTGCTCCCCCTTTGGAAAACTGATTTTTTGTGTGTGCAATAAGGGTGTAAACTGAATTGTATATGAGAAATTTTGAAAATTGTCCTATAGAAAACCTGTGAAAGAAAAAGTCTAGAAATATGTTAAACTTAATAGAATTAATAATAGAATTAAATTTTGATGTGCAATATGGAGAAATAAGTCTATAGAAAATGTTAAACCTACTTGTATTAAGGGTGAAATTTTACCAATTAGATATAATCTTATGTTGAAATTTTTTTGGATTTTCCCGGGAATAATCCTTAATATCTATATCTTTCTTTATTTGATTTAATAACAGACAATTGAAAGGAACATGTTCATTTCCAAAAAACACAATTGGCATTGAAATTTAAGGTTTTATTTATTTATGATTTATTTATTTGCTCATGTCATCACCAGTTCACCAAAACTTGAAGAATTAGGGATTAATCCGGAAAAATTTAACACAACGTAAATATATTTTATGAATAGAAGTAGGTTAACCAGTTAGGAAATTTTATTATCGTGTTATATGTCATTACCAAAAAGGCACATAATACTTTAATCAGGTGATTAAACTCTGAAAACACTCATTTTTCCAAGTAGCAACAGTGTCACGCATTAGAGATAAAAATACTTTATTTTGAAAAGTGTTGTTATTGCTTGTTTTCAAATTGTAGAGTTTGATAATTAAAATTTTGTAAATTTTACAAAATATGAAGGGGAAAAAACATAATTGTTCGTTAGTGTCAGCATTTTAAATTAATAGATAAACAGCTGCTCTTCGTTGCCAAGAGCAGCTCTTGGCAACTTTTTGTTTCAGGTTAGTATAACAGACACAAGATATTATTGCTACGTTAATTCTTTTATTAACATTGAGACAACATTGTTATAATACATTAAATTTAAATCATGACGTCATATGTATTAAGCTGAAATGTCAAAAGTTTTTGCTTCCTGGTTCGCACAAAAAAAAAATAAAATAAATAATATAATAATAATAATATAATAATAATAATAATAATAATAAAATATAATTACGAATTGGTTTTTGTTTGAAAAGAATGAACTAATTTCTTTCATACTGAAATCTTTTCATACATTTGCTTTTTAGGGTACATAGGACATAGAAATTTTTCTGAATTTTCTGAAAATTTAAAAATATGGCGATGGGCCCTTCTTGCTGAAAGACCTTCAATTCTATATGCAGTTAGTGGATTTGAGTAATTATGTCTTAATATCAACATATGCATTTCCCAAATTACAATTTATTTATCACTTAAATTTTAACAAACATGTAAATACGTAAAAAAGCAAATTTAAAGTTAAAATAATTTTAAAAAATGTACAAACATATAAAAGATTTAATTTTCGAACTAATCTACACAATATCATGTAAATTCAGATAGCATAAGTAAATCAAGTGCAAAACCAAACATGAAACTAAATTTACCAATTTAGAAATTAAAATTATCTAAAAAAATTTTAAAAATGCATAAGTGAATGACTGTTGAGCAGCAGGATACAGACTATTAGGGAAGTTGCCTCCAAACCTAACTCTTCAATCATTTAATTTGTGTTTCGTCATTCATACAGGCCAGGTAAAGTCAAAACCTAAAGTAAATACATAGTGAAGAATGTCCAAAAAGAAATCCAATAAGTGGTACCCCTGAGAAATTACAATTAAAAATTAAGGTCTAAAGGAAAATACCAATAATGAAGTATTTTGAGAATAAGCATGTAAAAGCTTAGTAATAAATTAAATTTCAGAAAAATTAATTTAGAAACCAATGCATTTTAGAAACCCTTGTCTACAGAAACCTCCCCGACATGAATAGCTTATCAATCAAAAAGAAACTAAAAAGGAACTAGACATAATTTATATAAACCAATAAAAAACTAAAAAGAACTATTTCATAATTAATAAAAAACAAATTTATATGTTTGCACATTTTTTTAAAAATTATTTTAACTTTAAATTTGCTTTTTTACGTATTTAAATGTTCGTTAAAATTAAAATTTCATTCCTTGCAGCAATAGTGCAAAGAATTAATTAAATTTGTATTTAAATTCAATTTATTCTTTTGAAACAATTATTTATCACTTAGTTACTTTTACTTCCTCCATTTTTATTATATATTGTTTCTTTAGTAAAATTATTTCATTTTGTACTTTCTATAGAGGAAACTACTACAGCAAATTTGAATAAATTTGATATGTAGATGACCATTAGGGAGAGAGATAAAAGAACAAAATACAAAACAAGATAAATTTAAAAAATAAATTGCCAAAAATCTTACAAGATTTAATCTAAATTATTCTTATAAATTATCCATAATCAATGATCTAGTTCTTTCTTTTAAATCAACATCACTAGTAGCTTCAAATAAAGCTATTGCAAATGCCTTTGGACAGTCCTATTCTCAGTTCTAGCAAAAGAGAAAATGCTACGGAGCAACTTAAGTGAGAAGCTACATGCTCCCTTTAGTGCACAAGAACTGGAACTCGCACCTAGATATCTTAAAATGAAGAAATCTCCTGGTGTGGATTATATCCAAAGAGAGTTTTTTAGTCACTTGGGCAGCAAGGCAAGAAAAACAGTATTGAATGTATTTAATTAAGTATGGGAGTCAGATCAGATTTTGGCACATTAGAGAAGAGCTATTATTATTCCAATCCTAAAGAAAAATAAGAACCCTGGGCAGCTGAATAGCTATAGGCTCATTTCACTTACAAGTATTCTTATGTGAATCTGGTTGGCTTCCTAAGGAATAGGTTAATGTGTGATCAGGTTCAGCCAGTTTATTAAGACATCCAAATTTAGCCCTTTAATTGGATTAGGTCTTCCATAAGCCAGAAGACATGCAGGGTAAAGTTTGAAGATTTTTTGTCCAAATGTTTTAATTTACAAACTGGTCTTCCCCAGGAAGCAGTTAGCATATTAATCAGGAAATTAGCAGATTATCTCTGGAAGGCCAAGGAGCACAAAAGCGAGGGAAAATAGAATGATTGTTCACCACGCCCGAACCGTCCCAACGGTATCATTGTCGACTATTCAATGCACTACAATCACGTCTATACCTCCCAAGGTACTATCCACCATCTCACGCCGTTGTCCAACATGGGGTTATGCTCACAGAGGCTTTTAAGAAGTTTGTCTTTGACTCCATACATTGGGGGAGTTGTGTGGAGTGGTGTCGCAGTGGATCATTTTGGCTGCCATCAGACTGGCATAGTGTTCAGCGATGAATCCCGCTTCACTCTTGAAGCAGATGACGACTGTGTTCATGTCTGGAGAAGATGGGGCCAGCGATCCAAATCAGCCTTTGTTTTGCAAAAGCATACAGCCATAACCCCTGGTATGATGGTGTGGGGTGCTATTTCTTATGACAGCAGGTCATCTTTAGTCATCCTCCGTACATCTTTAACAGCTCAACAATATGTTGACACCATCCTGCGGCCGGTTGCCTTACCGTTCATGGCATGTCATCCTGCGGCCATTTTCCAACAAGATAATGCCAGGCCACATACTGCTCCCATATCTCTGGACTGTCTCCGTGGGGTTGATACTCTTCCTTGGCCAGCAAGGTCACCAGATCTTTCACCATCGAGCATGCCTGGAGCATAGTAGGCTGCCAGAATCGTGCACCATAAAATATCGCAGATCTGGAACGAGAACTGATGAATGCCTGGCAGAATGTGTTGCAGGATGATATTAGGAACATCTATCACTCCTTGCCTTGACGAATTCAAGCATGCATTACTGCTATTGTTCTTAGCTGCACTGGGCTGCAGGTATTTTTTTCTTTAAAGAATATTTCATATTTTAGAATGATAATAAAGTTTATCTACAGAGCTCATTCATTTTATTTCAAGGCAACTACACAGATTAAAATCCATTGATTAGACACTCAGGTCTACTTGGGATCGAGAACAGCTCTCTATCAACCAAGCAAGTACTTTTTTTAACTCCTCATTTCGTTTTGCATTGTGATAGTAAACTGTTGTCCTCAGTTGCCCCTGAGAGTTTCAAAACTTTGGAAGATAGAGCTGCAGTTTTAGTGACTGGCAAAGGTTTTGAGCATTTGCTTGGCATACCTGCTACCGTGAAAGGCACTGGTGAACAGATGGCTGAAGTCATTCTTCAGGAAGTGGGCTGATTTGGGCTATGCGACAATACCATCATTTTGAGTTTTGATACGACAGCATCTAACACAGGACTGATCCAAGGGGCATGTACTAGAACTGAAAGGGAATTCAAACGAACACTGTTATGGTTCATGGATGTGATGTGGCTTGCCATCATTTCTGATAAAATGTTTAACCAATTGGTCAGAGGCCCCCCCTGCCAAAAAAAAAGGTTATTTTGAGAGTAGTTGAGCATTGCAGAAAAGTTTTCACCAAGAAGAAATGCATTATTCAACATTGATTAATATAACATGTTTTGTGCCTATCGTACTACCCATTAATCACAGCACTTAGTCTTAATATTATTTGCGTTTTCTGTTTTTCCCAATAAAAGTAATTAACATTGAAAAATCTTTTTTCTTCCGTCTACTTTCACAAAACTCATTAAAGTATGTAACCCCTAAAATTTATTTAATCTTCTTGAAATTTGGCATATATATCTTTCATATCACTGAGACTCAGGGGAATAAGCAAAGTCTGCAAAAATTCCCCCCCCCTCCTTTTTTTGCCTTATGATATGAACACTCTACTAGTCTGGGTAGGGAAATATTCAACTGATTCATTTGTTCCTTGAGATACATCCAGAAAATTCTTACTGGAGTAACTGCTGGAGGATTCCGATTCTTAAATGCTTCATCCTACACACAGTTGTATTAAAACATTCATGCTAATGCAAGTTTGAAATAATACTTTTCAGTATCTCAAGGCACACAATTGAAAGTATTATGACCATTTTGCAGATTTTCTTCAAAAGAAAACTAGTCAATCTTTCAACAACAGAAAGAATAATTCACGATTGGCAGGATGATCTTTGGTAGCCCCAGAACATTATTCACAGACTACAGAATCATCAAGTTAGATCTTGTAACTGCAAAACACAGCACTAATAATCGAATATTGTTTTGTAGAAAGCAAAAATTAGCATTTACTAAAAGCTCATTTGATAGCTAAATGACAATTATTTTATCATTTCCCATAACTTATGGCTTACTGAAAAAGCATTTCTCCTATTTGCAATGATTCTTTTCCCCGTAGTGAAAATTTTGAACTAATTATTAAAATTTCACACATTTTTAACATAATTTCTGTTTGCTCCCAGCAGCAACTCTTCCCAGGCACTCTTTCATACCTGCAGTGCAGGCTTACAGTAACAGTCATTAAAAGGATTGTTTTGAAGCTTGCATGGAGATCAATGAATAGCCTACTCTCACTCCTCAGGATCCTCTTGATAACACAGAAATTTTAAGCAATGAATCTATGTCATTACAAAGCTTAACCTTTTTGAAAAACAAACATTAAAAAAAAAAAAAAAAAGTTTCAAAACTGACTCTTGTTGCTTTTGATGAAAAAAGTATGAAATCATGCAAAATGGCACACACTTTTGTGCCATTTTATATTCTTTAATTTTATTCTTCACAGAATTTATTTATTACCTTACTAAAAGATCTTCAAGAAGATCATTCTTAAGCAGCAAGTTCTTTGTAGATCACAATAATGTTTTACATAAACCTTTTTAATATCTTTATACATTTAAATCATTAATACTGCAGCAAAACTAGATAATACAATATACTTCATACATACTTGTATTCGGGTAATTTGACTTCCAAGATTTTAATCTCATCATAATCATCACCCTCTAAATGATCAACAAAATAAACAAGTTAGTAAGGAAATCAATTATAAAACTTTTAAAATAATGCCATCTCAATTTATGAAACAAAACTCAAAGCAATTAAACAGATCAATATAATGAAGAAAAAAGCTAGAAATTTGTACTTAAAAAACTTAACTGTATTACCCACACAGAAACATAATATTCTGGCATATAATGCACATTTTTAATACAAACAAGCAAACAACAACAAAAACAAAAAAAAAAAAAAAAAAAAAATTAAATAAATAAATAAATAAATAAAAATAATAATAAAAATAAAAAGGCTGGAATTTACACGTGGATGTTATATGATGGATATAAAAATGACAGATTTAAAAATAAGGAGAAAATGAGCATACAAAAATTAGATTTCTAAATGTAATTTCTACATACTACCTAAATGCTGTCTATTTTAAAGAAATGATGAACTTAAAAAGTTTCCATTAGCAGATAACATGGAAAGTTCATCCATATTCGCCTTCTGCCATACCTTCAGGTACAAAATCGAATTCTATTTTATCTTCATCGTCACTGTTACTCCAATCCATACATAAATAATCATCTTCCGTTCCATCTAGATTGTTAGATCCATTAAATTTTTAAAATTATCTCAGGTTCAATTTCATTCCATACTTTTTATATTCACTCACACAATATTTATACTACTAAGTATTGTTTTTGAAATTTAAGGATAACACAGCACACAAGTATGGATGCAGAATAAATGATAAGCAAGGTTTGGAAGCAGATCACACATATGATCATGAACTACTACTGCAAAATAAGCTTTACGCTCCAGTAACATAGAAGCATTCGTAAGCATGCATAATTCAAGATCTATCTTGCTAACAGAGATGGAACGCTATAGTGCAGGAGTTCTCAAAACCGGTAGGGATTCCATAGCTTCAGGGCAAAATGAATTCAATCTTTTATTTTGTTGTCAAGTATTTAGTTCTAGTTTATGAATATAATAAATCTACGTTTATTATTATTCAAATTTTGACATTTATCAAAATTTTCTATGATTTTTTTTTTGTTTAATTTATAAAAGACATAAAATAATCTAAATGTAAATAAATGCATATTTGTATTTTTCATGTTTTGGAAAATAGGGGGGATATCTTCTAGAAATCCATAAATGGATAAAGGGGCAAAGAAGACTGAGAAACAATGGTGCTTCAGAAGTTGGAAAAGCTCTACTGCCTTGTGCACGTTACACTGACCAGCAAGGCTGATTTTGAAAGATGCATGCATAAGAATGGGACTTACAATCATAAAAAAATAGAGACTCTAGAATCGTTTCTGGAGAAACTGCAAAGGTGTCCAATGCACAAAACGCAGCTGATGTTATTTACAGATTTTATTAAGATTTATAAAAGCTGTGCCCATGCACAAAAAAATTAAGATAATTTTAAGCATATTCTCATAGTTTATTTTACATGCATGTAGAGAAATTAAATCTCTATAGCTATGATAAAAATATGACAAATATGATAATTAAGAAAACAGATAATTTTTAAAGAAACTGGACAATCTAAATGTTTCTGCACTCCCTTTGAAATTCAAATTAACCCAAACGAAGTTTAACAGTAAAAGTTAGTATTATGAATTTTAAACAGTTTTATCTGTGAGTTTTTGCCATTATTGCATATTTTTTATACTTTTCTTAACATCAATTGCCATTATTTTTTATTTTCATTATGTTCATTTCAACTATTTAAAATACAGCAGAATGTTGATTATCCAAGTTTTGATTAACTGATGTGTTGTGTTATGCAAGCACAATGTCATAATTAAAAAACAGTCCTTCAGACAGGCTAGCTCAAAAGATAAACAATCTGTAGACTTGTGTTTCAGCAATAATTCAAATGTCTTTTAAAAATAGTTGATATGTTATGTACACTATACAGCACCTCATTTGTGTTATAGGTATGTGTTTTCAAATTCACAGTACACATATTTACTACTATGTGTATACCTGTGCATTTGAACGTACGTATGCTTTATATTGCTACGTACCTGCACGAATGCTGTATGTTATTTCATACAGTATGCATAATAAGACTACACTATTAAATTTTAATTTGTATCAATCCATATTATCAGTGTTAGTCTTGATATAAACTAACTCAGATAACTTGGGTTCTACTTATATACACTTAAAAATGACTTATTTTAACTCAGATAACTTGGGTTCTACTTATATACACTTAAAAATGACTTATTTTAAAGCTTAACCAGTAACTTAACTTATAAGCACTTATCGCTTTGAAAATTTAATGTATTACACCTATTTACTTATTTAATATGATTAAATAAAAAAGCATTGTTGCAATATTAACATTTAAAGCTCAGGACGAGTGTATCATATATGCATCAGCAGCTAATCCTCTTATGAATGCCGCTTGTTGCACCAGTGCATCACCTGGCAGCTAGGGACATTTAGGACTGATGCATATATCACACACCCATCTGCAGAGGGTTTTTAGTTCAGCAACATGCAGTCACGAAGGGGTTAAACAACAATATGAGCTACAGCAGGTACCATAATGTGAAGTAGAAAAAATTAAGAAATCTTACCTGCTTTACTATCTCTTTTCCTAGATGACTGTTTTGATGGTGAACTGGTTTTTTCCTTTGCTGAATGAATTGATCTATGATACTGTTGTAGGAACTTATCAACACTTTCAGGTGCAATATCATTTTTCAAAGATTCACTAATGCAAACGTATGCAAATGAGAATTAATGAGAAATGGCTACATATATACACACACATGCACACATATCCATATGTGAATGACAGTGTTTTCAAAAGAAGGAAATGAAAATATTACGTGATTTTTTTCATAAAATCAGAAACGGAGCTTAGTAAACTTTTCCTTAATTGGTGTTTTTCATAATAATTCTTTCGCACTACTTACTTAGCATCAGAATGACAATAATTTTACAAACAAAATGAACTATATTGCAGTTGTATTTAATTATAAAACAACTACTTACTACATATCTTAACTAAATTAAAGATGTTTCAAAAAGCATAAAAAATTCACTTTCTGTAAATGATTTTAGGCACCTGCATCCTGTTATTTAAGAAGAGAAACTGATAATTTTAATTTGGACTTCATATTTTAACTAATAGGATTGATTAGTCAAAATGTTTTGCAGCAACACAATTGAAATTTTAATAAATGCAATGTTTTCTTTTGTTCTAATTATGATTACACTTTTACTCAAGAAAAAGGGAATTACATAAGCTGATGTAATACATAAATAAATTACTATAAAAATTATTTTAAATCCTCAAATATTGAAATTATTTTAATTAATAGATACCTTGAAAATGTATTTTTTCCCCTATTTTCACACTTTTTAGAAACAGCAGATAGTGAATCAAATGAACTTTTCCATATATTATTTAATAAAATGCTCTTCTTTTTTACACTATATTTCAAAGAAGAAGAAACACACACACACACACACACACACACAAAAAAAAAAAAAAAAAAAAAAAAAAAAAAAAAGAGAGAGAGAGAGAGAGAACAAAATAAGCTGATGAAAATTAAAATACTGGTAATAAAAATGAAAGCAATATCAACATACTCTCTGAAGTCAGAAACATCTGTACCAGAATGAGGCTTTACACGTGGATGATAAAGAGAACCTTTGGTGTATCTCTCTAACAAAAGCTGATACTGTGCCTTTTCTTGTAACCTCACTACCTGTATTGAAAATAGAATATCTTTTAAAAATATAGAATATTCTCTTCGTTACAAAAATGAATCGTATTAATTCCAGAGTAAGCACAGGTATTTATAAACGTATAATAAGAAAAGAAGCGCATTTAAAATACACCTCAAGCTGAAAGTCGAGGTGTATTTTAAATTTCTAAAAAACCACCAAAACTGTTTTTACCTTTTTTAGATTTCCTAAAGATCCATAGTCAAACTGAATTTGGATTTCCAAGCATGTTTTCAGATTTTTAGCACATACATTACATACAATTAAGAAGTGGACATGCATTCACATACCATATTACTCACATAAATGCTTTTAATTCATCTATTTCACTTCAAAGTAAATTTCTCGGGCTACACTAATTTAATATTAATCGAATTTTTATCTCGCATTTCAAATATTTAAAGCAGATAAATAGTTAAAAGCAGACTTCTGGAGATCACAAGATCAGAGTTTTTAAATTAAAATAGTTTCCTTACTAAGTTTCTTTCTTTAAAAGTTTCACATTTGAAGCATTAGACTTTTAATTAAATATTTTGCCATGACACATGAAGAATGAAATGAAACGGTGATGGCCAACTGATGGTCTATGAAGCACATTACAGCCAGCTACTTATTCATTATGGTCTATCATTCTGATTTAACAAACATAATTGGAAAAGCTGAAACTCCCCCATACATACTTGAACATGCCCACAAAATACTTGTCACTTTTAATCAATAATCACTTCCAATACAGAAATTACAAGAAATTTCTAAATAGCCAATGAAATGCATCTAAACCAGATCTGCAAAACATTACTTCATCCTATTTTCCTCATTTAAACAGTTTTATGAAAACATCAACATAAATTTCAAACATAGTGAAGAGTTAAATTCAGAATTTGATTATCATTCCAAGATTTTTAAATAATTCTTCCATTAACTGATATTTTTATAATTCATTCAAATTCAATGTGGAAAATTTAAGTAAAAGAAAGGTTGTGTAATATCAAAAAAAATTTTGTTTTATTTATTCTCTAATCTCAATACAGCACAAAAATATAAATGATTTGTGGAAATAATGGCCACAAAAATGGTACTTATGTGAGAAGATATGATCTTAAATAAGAGTCTACATTTGGAAGAAATTAAATTTATGAAACATCAAAGAAAATAACAATCAAACTGAAATCTAGGCCCCTGAGAGTAATCACAATTTTTGGGTCTGAAATCAATTTTAGTTGGCCATCACCGATTTAAAAAAAAAAAGAAAAAGAGAAAAAAAAAAAAGTTCAGTCCTCAAAATTTTTAGATTTTAGGCCCTAACAAATTAATTCGCCTAACTTAAATGACTATAAGAAAACAATCAGAAGAACTTTTTATTGAACATTTTATATAAGCCCTATGCACGTCATTAAAATATGATCAGCATTTACTGGTTCTGAATACATCTGGAAGCAGTAATTTAGAAAATTCATGATAATATGAAATGAAAAGATTTTCAATGTACTTTGAAGGATAAAGAATAAAGAATAACTAAATATGCATCAAACTGTTTTTAATTTGATATCAACTGCCTAAAAGCTGAATTATTAAAAAGTTTAGAAGAATTATCTGCATCATTTAAAATATTCAGTTTGAGTAATTCACACTTTATTAATCATTTAAACTATATTGCTTCGTCTTTAAATATTTGCTGGCAAGCAAAACAAAGTTTAGTCTCTCGAGTGATTGTGTATCTATTTAAGAGGAAAGATCATTTTTCTACCTATCCTTGTATACAAAAGTTATGCTTCAAGACATATTTGAATGAAATATTATACATATTTGGTTTTCTTTTGCTAATGCAGCACAGAATTAGATTTCATGAACAGTACTTTTTCAGCTTTTGATACAAAATTATTCAGAATATGTTTTTAAATATTTATTATTTCATTTATTTCTTCACAATTAAGACAATCCTATGTCAGCAAAGTGAAAGAAAAAGAAATTTTTAATGCTATTTTTTAAATATTATTTGAACATAACTATGTTAACGATATCTTAAAAATGTTGTTACATTAGGGAAAAAGAGAAAAAAAAAAAAAAAAAAAATACAAATTCCCAAATAAAGATTTTTGAAGACCTTAAATGAGTCAAACTGATCATAAGTTGCCTAATTTAATCACATAGACACAAAGAAAGTATCTGCATTCAAAAAAGCTGTTTTTGATGCGAAAAGAATGAATTCAAACAGTAATCCAAATGTCTGCCAATACATAGAGTGGATACATATTTGGTGATGAATCATCACACAGGTAAAATTTCTGTGCTTTTACGGAAAATGCAAAATTCACAAAAAATAACTTTCACATATAAGTTTCTAATTTTTTTTTTTTTTTTTTTGTTAAATTATAAGAAATTGCCGTTGACAGATATGCACTGTTTCTAGTGGCCCTCAAACTCTCCATATAACTATATCATTGTCTGTAAATTTAGATTGTTCTGATACCAGCAAATATTTTCAGAATATCCTCCTCCTTTTCCAAGTGTCCTAATCATATCTTTTGTACTCGAATTTAATTCAGAAGTAACAGTGGATGGAGGACTGACCTTTATGAAGTTCATACCTCATCTTCTTAGAAGCACATTTTTGCCTCAGTACGAAGAAACATGACTGAAGACCAAGTTCAAGAAAAATTTTTTTTTAAAACAGTATTATTTGAAGCACTGAATAAAGAACTAATAATCTGAAAGTTTTATCCTGGGACGGCTGATCGTTTCTTGTTGTTTACACTGCAATAGCTTAGTTGCGAGATGCATAGTTACAATTCTATATTCTTTTAACACTTTAATTCATACTCAGAATGATAACTGGAAATGTCAGATGAACAAAATTAAAAACATTTTGTATATTTTAGTCAAAATTAAGAACTTTTAAATCAAACACTAAGAACTTTTAAGGACTATGTAAACCTTAGAATCACGAATCTCAATTTCAGCTGTCAATTTTATATTGCAATTTACACATAAGTAGCAAAATCAGACACATGCCAGAGTGATAGCTACCAATGATTTACAGTTTTGTTCACAAAGTGGGATGCATCTGATGCGAAACTTTCTCGAGAACAGACAGGACTGCAAAATGTAAAAGCTCACGAGTAAGGCATTAGCACATCTAGAATTAGATAATGCTTCCAGAGGATTATTGGGCTCTGTCATTACAAATCAGGTAGACATACACTCGTATATTACGAGAGTGATTTCAGAAGATAACATAAAATAGTACAATAATGCAAATACATTATATTTAGAGCAGGAGTTGTCAATTACATAGGTTACTTTTATATCAAACAGAGAGCTTGATAGAGAAGTAGCCATTAATCAATCCACAGTACTTTAATCCAAAGGATGATCTATATAACTACATTGATCAACACATTAAACAGACTGAGCTTTAACATAGTAATCTTTAGTATTCCAGGGTGTCTCATTACCAATCTATACGTTACAGCTCTGTCAACTTACAGAATTCTTTTCAAAACTACAATTTGTGATAGCTTTGAGAGATGTATATTCTGGATAATAAATAAATGGTCAATATGACTAGTTGTATTTTATATGTTTAACCATAAAAAATTAGATATAAAATTTAATACTTGATTGAAGGATCACCGTGAAAGTTACTTAATATTTCTGTAAATTTACTAACTTCTTTCTTTAATTGAAATGCTTTTTTTAATGTTTTTGCATGAAATAAATCACTTCTACTTGCTATAGCTTTGAGCTTTTTGGAACTGATCTTCGGCAATTCCGGATTAGGGGTTTTTCCGGATTATAGATCATCAATTTAAATCTGATAAGATGACATGCAGAAATTATAAAATAAAAAATATGAAACCGTAATTTGTGAAATAAAGAGCAATTATGATCTAAAAGGTATCAAAATTTACACACACACACAAAAAAAAAGCTTAATATTTATTTGTTTACTTTATTAAACATTTCTTTCAATTCAAGTTGTTTAAGCTGCTTCGTTTTATGTGCTAATACTTTCTCTTTAATTCTATAAACAGACATAATTTCTTGTTCAGTTACAAAGTTCCGCGGTTCAAGTCCTGTAATTGCTGTGCTGAGAATACCGACTAACTTGTAAATCGAAATTTTTTCGGTTTCACTAACCTCTCTGTCACTTTCTTCATGCCTTTATCCATTTTTTGCAGCAATTCCACTTTTTGTTTGATGGACACAGAAACATGCTTTCGCTTTGTAGATCGTTTGGCAGCTCCAAAATTGGAAACTCTTTTTGACATAATCGAAAGTTCAAGCTTACTTTTTATAAAATTGCTCTAACAATATGCAAAAAATAATAAGCCGGATCCAATTAGAAGATTAAGGAATAACGCAATCTGCAATATTAACCGAAATAGATAATTAGATAATTTTAGCCTAGCTTATACCGTCCGTTATACATTAAATGTGCATGCGTAAACACAACGCATATGCAGAAAGTTTGTAGCTTTGAGGTCTGGATTATACATCATTTCGGATTATGGACGTCCAGATTAAAGACTTTGTACTGTATAACAAATAAATTTTGTTATTTGATTGTGTTTTAATTTGAATCTTACTTTCATTAATGAATTATTCCCTTCTGACAAATTAAAAAGTATCTTTAGATATTATTATTATACTTTATTTACTTTTCCCTTTGCACCTTTTCAATCCATAAGCTCTGTCAAACCTTTTCCCCTAAACAATTATCTGGAAGGGGCCATATACATACACACACACACATATATATATTAAGTTGCCTTTTTAAGCCAATGAGTATCCCGAGTCCCATTATGAAACTTCATCCCTATGGGAAATTTAGGCTTTCTTTAAGTTGGGAATATAACTTTTGACACTGCTATTCAGATTTTGCTCAAACGTCAACATCTGGTGTTTTTTCTTCATTATTATGTCAGCAAACTACAAGAACCAGTTTGAGCAACTAAAAAAAATTTTTTTTAATCAATGTTATTATTTTATAAAACAGTAAATCACATATATTATTAAGCAAACAATTTCTAATTTTAGGCTACTATTTTTTTAAACCTTTGGAGGAAATTTTATGATTTTTAAAACTAGTTTTTATTTTTCAGTGATGGCTACTTGAAATTGAATATCCACTTGAGTACCATGAGATTCAAATTTTCATTAATTTTGGAGTTCTTTATTATTTTTTTCAAGGGCAGCAGATTGTAAATAACAGGCATAATGGCTGCAAATTTCTCTTGTCTATTAGTCTTTCCTTTATATGTTGTTTCTTTCTCTTGTTATCATTTGTTTTACTATTACTTCTAAATGCATTCATAAAATTCACCGTGATATTTAGCACATAGCTACATTTCTTATTACTTTCTCTCTTAATCCAATCTTTTGACTAAATTACACTAGATTTGTAATATTTTTTTGTTTCCTAATAAATTTTTCACAGGAATTGATTCATTAAATCATCTTACTGTATTTCTTGATAACTTTGTCTTCATATTCCATTTCATCAGTCTCTATTTTTTCCCACTTCAAAGCATATCCTATTCTTTGATAAGCTTTTTTTGCTACAAATGTTAATTTTCCCATCCATTTGTAAAAACTGAAAATAAGTTTCAGAAATAAAATACAGCAGCTGGAAAATTCCATACTTTCTTTTCAGCATAATCAGCTAACATATAATAAAATATATGATTTAGTTAACATTTCCTCAGATACACATTATTTTCCTTTTAAAAATAATGTATCTAGTAACATAAAATAGTCACATATATTTTGTTTACACGTGGCAGTAGGAAAACGCTAACATTTTTATCTTTATTCACATTGCTGCGTGGCTTAATATCACCATCTAACTCTCATATTCTGGAAAATAAAAAATGATGCATTTTCTTTTGGTAGGATTCTCCACAGTTCTTTTATATGAATTCAGTAATGAGTAATAGTCAAATCCATATTACTCATTAAAACAACCAATTTAATTTCCTAAAATTAGACACATTTTTTAGATGCATGACAAATGATTTATATTTTGGAAAAGCTAAAAAAAAAAAAAAAAAAAATGCAATTTTTAGCTCTGTCACAATAAAGCTGATACATATTTCTTAATTCTTGTAACTCATTTACATTCCTTTTAATTTCAGATGTTTCTTATTCTTTTTTGGAGACGTACTTGCTTTACATCTTGATATTTTACTGCTGAATTCAAAACAAACAATATTTTAGGCTTTTCTGAAATACATACAAATAAAATGTTACCTTACATTTTTATACATCACTTTGTTTTTTATTCAGATATTGCTTGCAAAAGACAGCAGGTATTTAAAAAAATTAATGCACTGTAAAAATACAGTAACAAAATGTAAATAAGAAGGATGGAGATTTCTGCTTTTACTGATGGAAGGAAGGTAATCTTAAAAACTGAAGATATTCAGAAACTAAGTGTTGTTTTCTGGTGTAAACTCTATTTACTGGCAGCAACTTTGGAATACCACCTTGAAACTTAGGAATCAATGCACCTACTGCAAATTTTCAAATATGCACAATTTGGATTCTCTAAAAGGAATTATCAGGATTATTAAAAGGAATTCTCTAAAGGAATAAATCAAACTAACCGGAAAAGAAAATTAACATGAACAGTTAGTTGGTTTACACATATTTTTTATTATCAGGAGTATTATATGCAGGAGTATATATTGTATTCGCACATTCCCTAAATTCAGAACGTCTATTCAAAGGATGAAATATTTGTTCCCTCAGCATCTACATCAGTATTTTTTTATACAATACAAAATGCTGTAAATGTTACATACACTGCTAACATTAGAAATATCAGTAACGACTTATAAGGAAGTTAAAAAAAATCTATATCATATATCAAACAATTTTTCCCCCTTGAAATGTCGTAATTTTTCTCTGTTTTTTGGGAAGCAATTCTAACATAAAGGTACTTTCTAGTGGATTTACTACATTAGTTAAAATTTTGAAAATTAAAATAAATGCGATTAAGTGTAGAATGGGGGAGACTGACAACCATGGAAATCATATTTTACTGCAATATTTAAAGTATTGAAAAAACTGTGAAAGAAGAAACAAGGGGGGGATACAATACCTCATGAGCTGTATAGCTTTTTCTTGCAGGTTTCTGAACAGAGATTTGAACTTCCTCTGTCCCTTTAACTTCAGGTGCTTGTATTTTATTACGACACAATCTAGAAGTTCTTGATGTTTGACGTGGTGACACTGTACAGGAACGTCGCTTTTCAGTAGGGATTTCTGACACAATAACTACATCACTGGCTTCTGTGTCAGCTTTTTCGTTAGCATCAAAAAGTATTTCAATGTCAGTTTCCGGGCTGCTGATTTGTGCCATTTTCTTACTAGATGGTAAACTTTCTTGAGATTTAGGCTGAAGATTAGAATGAGATAAGCTGTCTAGTTGATACAAAGAACTATTTATGTGTTTCTGATGAACAGAATTCCTTGGCCGTAAAACAGGAGTTTTCCTAATACAGGCATTACGGGAGAAGTTAGATAACGACGAAGATGACAGTGAACAGATGGGTACACTAAATGGATTGTAATCTAAAAAGAAGGTATATACCAATAAATGATAAGACATTAATTTTAGATCTTTTTCTCTTAAAATTTAATTACAAAATTCTCCCTTTAGTAGCATCTAATTTTATCCCATTCTATTTCATTTCAGTATTTTAATGCAAAATCGTTGATTGGCAACCTCTTTAAGATAATGCTTCTTAAGTCAATTAAATCATTTCTAACTGTAAAATAAACTACCCTTGACATCTGGCTCTTTATTCATGAGAAACACACACACACACACACACAAAAAAAAAAAAAAAAAAAAAAAAAATTCTTGGAAGTAAATTAAGAAGAATGAAACTTCTCCCTAAATTCATACAGGTTGAAATCATTAATAGCCAATAACATAAACTGTCAATAAATCACACAATGAGAAATTTAAGAACCCCATATTTGCTTGCAAAGTTTTAAAACGAATCTTCCCCCTCCCCTCTAACACTTACCTTCAACAAGCAAAGACACAGACAGCCAGCTTCAAAAATTAATGTAACTGACATGTCTCTTAACATAATGCAGCTGTATTTCTTTATTTCTATGATGTTATGGAAAATTTATACTTGAGTAAAAATATTTGCTAAGACCCAGAATTATCCTTTTTCTCTTCTATGTAACCATACTAATTTTTATTATTATATATATATATATTATATACATACAGGAGTAATAAAATTTTTTATGCAAAAACATTAATTAATGCATGATGATGGAGTTAGAGTATAAAGTTGCAGTAGTGATCATGGCCAGTTCAACAGTTCTTTTACTGTTCACATTAATGCAAACAAGTACACAGCTAAGCTAAAACAAGACATGCACACATTTTTTAACAATTTTTTTCTACTTTTCACATTTTTGAATCAAGCAAGAAATGTCATATCAAGCTAGTAAAACACAGAATTACTTCTTTGTTGGTTAAGAGTGGTTACAGTTTTGGTTTGACTTCATTCCAGTTAGCTAATTTAGGTTTCAGTATGCGAATGTTAATATTATTTTTAGCTGAACTGTTATGTAAATGCCTGCATCATTAGCATTACATGCTAATCATGTGAACAGAAGAATTGCAAAAATCATGCGAGAGATTAATCTACACACATTTATTACACGTTACCACTTTTAGTAATATTTGAAATTAAAGTTAGGATTTTGCTTTACGTATTTTTTTTTTTTTTTTTTTTTTTTTTTTTTTTTTTTTTTTTTTTTTTTTTTAATCTTACACACATATGTGATATAGATGCTGAATGAGAAAAACATAATGAGATTCCAAGGATTGCTTTACTGTTTATTATAAAATGTTTTAGGACTGCACACTAACAGTGGCTTTGAAAGTATTAGAGGAGTACTCTCTACCGATTTAAACCCCAGATTATTTCATATTGCAAATCCCTTTACTGAGAACATAAAATATAAGAACATAACAGAATGAAATGAAATGAATCATCACGTTTTAAAATGAACCACTCAGGCAGCAAAAGTGAATAGACTATGGAATACCCAAGAGGCTAGTCTATAGGAATTTAAAATGACTGGACAAAGATCGAATTAAAACTGAAAGAATATTTGTTATTTATAAAAGTAAGCATCACATGATAACACACATTCTAGCTAAATGACAGAGCAATCACATTTCAAGCTGAACTTCTAGCAATAAAAGAAGTGCTAAAATGAATACCAAAACTGGATTTAAATATTCAAATATATAAGATATCAAATAAGCAATAGCCCTTTTAACTCCTGATTTTATTTGGCTACGTCCCTTTCAAAAGAATATGTACTGCACTACTTATATCATTTAAATTTTATCCACAATGATCTGCAATGCAAAAGCATGACGAAATGTCCAACACCATTCAAAACTAACACAAAGGATTTCTACACTATATACCCCAGTTAGTAATATGCAGTCACTTTTTTCCTTTCATTCAACTAACTAGCATCTGTTTGCCACTACACAATTTTCATCTATTGTTTGAAAACGTGAAACTGAGAGGCACTTATAGCATCTACAACACTGTATAAATCAAGAATATACAGTGTCTCACTAAAGTAATGGGACACTTGTGCTTTACAAAAGGAAACTGTAATAAAATAAATTTAAAAAAATGTAGACATTTTTTGTGTGTTTCATACTTAAATTTAGTAACAATTATTACATAACATACATTTTCTCAAAATATTAAAATATTAATTAAATAAAAATACAATTGTTTAGAACGGAGCAAAAAATGGCTCACATAAGTGATGGGACACATTAGATACTACAGTCAAAAGTCGTTAATCCGGACTCGTCGGGACTTCGGCGATTCCGGATTATAGATCATCAGTTTAAATCTCGTAAGATGGCATGCAGAAATTCTAAAATTAAAAATATGAAACCGTAATTTATCCTCCTCGGTTCCCTTGTACCACATGTGATACAAAAGTTTCATTTTTTTTTTTTTTTTTTTTTTTTTTTTTTTTTTTTTTTTTGTGAAGGCTGAGCTACAAAAACAAAATTTGGACCAGTTGTATCACATAAGATACAAAGTGAAATACCTCATATATTTTCCTCGTTCCTCGTTTAGTCAACAGATGGCAGTACTTTGTCCATGATAGCGATTTCTAGTAGCATCTCTGAATCAAAACAAAATGTCTGCACGTCGTCGAAGTAAGTTTTTTTTCTTATTTATATACAAATATTAAACTATTTTTTAAAATATGCTTTCTCTTTGTATATGTACGTTTTACTAGTTAACAGCAAAAAAAGAAATTTTTACTGATATATTAAAGCATAATGACTTGTGAAATTTATTTGTATTATCACTGATACAATGGGACCCAATCACTTATGAACACACTTTTTAAGTCAATTTTGTTTTAATTTTAGTTATATTTTGGGGGATTTAAGATTGATAGAAGTATTTCTTGAATTCAAATCTTTAGTTGAGGTGTTTGCATTCCATTTTTACCCATTTTTTCCTGATAATTTTTTATTTAATAAGTATTTTTTTTCAGTGAAATATTTGACACTAGATGAAATTTTAGAGCTGATGAATCGAGATGATTCTGATTTGAATTTCACTGTCAGATGAAGGTGGTTATCAAAGTGATAATGGAAATGAGATGAAAGATGATTGATGAAAATCAGGATGTAACCTTTGACTTTTCTGCTCCAAATCAATGGGAATACATACAGATAAGTTCAATCCAGTTTCATTTGATTTTCAAGAGAAATACTAATGACAGAATTAGAGGAAACCGAAGAAGAACATTCTGGACTATTTTGCGTTTACACTCCAGTATTACAAGTACACTCATCCACGGCTAACTGAAGAAGCCATTTTTCCACTCCTTCGGCTATCCCAAGATTAAAATGATGAGCCCCCTTCCAAAGCGCAGAGTTACGATCTTGCATTTCCACATCAAGCAACTCGTAACAAAAAAGCTAGTCACATGCCTGTAATGGCTTGGCGCTAGGACTCATCGAAGTAGGTGCAGGAAATTTGAAGTGCTCGTCCTTAAAAAATTGTACAATGTACAGACTGCAAGATTTTTCTATGCTTTACAACTACTAGAAATTGTTTCAAGGCATTTCACAAATATAAATAATAATAATATGTACCTACAACTCCAATAAAACTTAATTTTCGTGTTGAATTTATGAATTGTATGTATTGTGTGATTAAAGACCAAGATTAAATTAATTACTTCAATCTTACTTAATACTTAAGAAAATTCTGATTGTAGTGCCATGTTCCTGATGTATCACGTGATACATCCCCCCCTAGCTTTCATTAACTTAAAAAAAAAAAAAAAAAAATTAATTGCACTTTTCTACATCAAAGTGATCGAAACAACTATTTAAATACCTCTTACAAAATATCAATCTTTTATTTTTGTCTCGGGTCTGAGGAGGTTAAGATATAAAGAAAAATTATGATCTAAAGGGTATCAAAATTTACAAAAAAAAAAAAAAAAAAAAAAAGGCTTAATATTTATTTGTTTACTTTATTAAACATTTCTTTCAATTCAAGTTGTTTTAAGTTGCTTCGTTTTATGTGATAATACTTTCTCTTTCATTCTATAAACAGACACAATTTCTTGTTCAGTTACAAAGTTCCGCTGTTCAAGTCCCGTTAATTGTTGTGCCGAGAATACCGACTAACTTGTCAATCGAAATTTTTTCGTTTTCACTAACCTCTCTGTCACATTCTTCATGTCTTTATCCATTTTTTTGCAGCAATTCCACTTTTTGTTTGTTGGACATTGAAACATACTTTCGTTTTATAGATCCTTTGGAAGTTCCAGCATCAGAAATTCTATTTGACATAATCGAAAGTTCAAGTTTACTTTTATAAAATTGCTCTTACAGTCTGCAAAAAATAATAAGCCGGATCCAATTCGAAGATTAAGGAACAACGCAATCATTAACATTAACTGAAATAGATAATTAGATAATTTTAGCTTACACCGTCCGTTATACATAAAACGCGCAGGCGAAAACGTATTCTGCACTTGCACACATGCATATGCGCAGTAGTCAAGGTCTTACGCACACACGTAAAACGCCTGTGCGCATGTGCCAACGCGGCGCACGCGCAGAAAGTTTTTAGCTTTGAGGTCCGGATTATAGATCATTCCGGATTATGGGTGTCCGAATTAACGACTTTTGACTGTACTACGTACTACAATAAAAATACTTTTTGGGGTTTTTATTTTTACTCAAAAGCAATTGGAAATAATTTATAAAATCGTCTGCAGTATTTCTCTCCAGTTTGTTTTGTAATTTTTGTGTTTTTTAGCTCTGTGCAGCCACGAATGCTAAACGAAAAGAAACTTTGCCTGAAATTCGAAAATTAGTTATTAATTTGCATACTGAACGTGGAAAATCTATTAGAGAAACTGCTGAAATAGTTAACTTGAGTCATTCAACAGTTTTTAATATAATTAAACGATATAAAAAGAATCATATGATTCAGGATAAAAGAAGACCTGGCCGACCATCAAAGCTATCCAATGGAATAAAGCGAATTATCGTTCGAAGTTTAAAAAAAAATCCAA